GGGAAGTATAGGGTCAGTAAATCCAGACAAAATTCAAAATCAAGATGACATGAACATTGACGCATACCAACCACATACACCATACATTTCACATGCACTGATCATGAAAATCACTGAATTAACTCTTTATTATCAACGTAGCCATCATGAATCAACACAGGCTCTCCACGAAAAAGTGTCAAACATGACCTGACAGAATCCTTCCATCACACAATGAATCACAACACTCCACAAAATCAATATTAACACAATGGAACAAGATCAACACATGGGTGATTGTAACTATTCAAGAAAAAATCCATATATCACGCTGTAATACACTTCATGACAAAATCTTCTCAGGTGCTCAACAACAATACATTCTAGACATGAACCAACACAATAATTGATATCAATATGACATTCACCATCCCATCTACCATAAAAAACTATCTGCATCACTCTCTTGACAATTCTTCAAAAAATAATTAATGATCATTTTCATCACTTCTCAGGTGTCTCATAACAACATCAACTCAAATAAATAAATATCATAAATTTCAAAATAACAATATCCTAGTGTGTATAATCAAATAAAGTCACTGTGATATTCTTGAAATTATTAAGTATCGTAATATCATGTGAAAAAGAAAAATGAACTGAAAGAGTGAAACACCACTTCCACAACTTGTTGAATCAGTGAGTAAAAACAATATGAATGTATCACACTCATCATGACGAACATGTTCATATGTATTCTTCATGACATACTCACTCTCGGAAGGACATGGTGTCACATCACTACGACATTCATCATGATACTCCACTAATAATGATCATATCCATCATCAATTGTCATATAAATGTTCTTCACAATGTATTATACAACATTACAATCATCCGTTTATCGAAAAACTGAATCAGTCAATTGTTATAAAATGATCATTCAATGATACAACAAGACATACCAACAACAATTCAGTATGATCACTTTCAACCATTCATAATCACATGAAACACTTCTACAATGATAATCATAACGTGTCATGATGATAGAATGAATGACATGAACAAGAGAGGAGAGTTGTACCCTTCCTCAAGAAATGATGTTTTCCGAGAAAAGCGAAGTGCTCCCATTCAATGAAACAATCATGTCAATGAATAAAACTGATGATTTGTTGTTTGAATGATCAGAACATCCATCCATATCAATTTCATGAAGTTCTGTGAAGTACTTGTCTCGATCGTACTTTTCACCTCTACCATAGAGCCACCATCGCACTTCACATCACACCAAATCATGAAATGACCATCACTTTGAACTGAATCAACGATCAATTCTATGGTTTCTGATCACTGTAACAACATTCCGATCATCAGATTCATTCCATGATCATCACATCCAACGGAGCAGTTCACTACAATTCTAACCGCTACTATTTGATGATTATCATTTCCATGTGTATTCATACACACAAAATATTCCTGATGAATGTTGATCATGATGTACACATTTGATGTGATCAATATAAATATGACATGATGATGAATGGAAACATGACCCGATGTTGATGATGATCCTGTCAAAAATGCAGGGAGTTTTGGCTTCATTTTTTTTTAATTTTTTTTTGAAAAATTTTCATGTCATTTTTGAACTCGATGAAACTCCTTCAAACTTGATTTTCTCGAAAACTGCCCTAAACCTGATCGAATGCTCTATCATGACCCCCATTATTTTCATGAGATCTACAAAAAAGGTGTCGCTTAAATTCTATCAAAAATTTGACACCTGTCACCATTTGTTGAACTATTCAACCAACTTAGCTCACTATCCAATGATGTCGCTAGCACGAATGTTCTACTCTTCAAAATCTATCGAATGATGTGCTTGAATCAAGCTCAACATCAAAGATGACGAAAACCCCGACCATGCACGAAAGGTCTACTTTAAGCGAATACAGTTCAATAACTACCCATAATTAATGGATGAAAGTCATATCAACACATAGATATACCTCCATCCCCGACGATTTCATAAAAATTAAAAATCCCATGATTAAGCATGTCGAAAAATTAAGATTACAAGTCAAGGCGGTCACCTATCCAAACCCTTTCAATCATGATTCCGTCATCACAACATCAAACAACACTGATCAATCACAACAACATTTTTTTGGAAAAATTCTAAATGCGGAAGTATAGGGTCAGTAAATCCAGACAAAATTCAAAATCAACATGACATGAACATTGACGCATATCAACCACATACACCATACATTTCACATGCACTGATCATGAAAATCACTGAATTAATTCTTTATTTTCAATGTAGCCATCATGAATCAACACAGAATCTCCATGAAAAAGTGTCAAACGTGACATGAGTGAATCCTTCCATCACACAATGAATCACAACACTCCACAACATCAATAATAACACAATAGAACAAGATCAACACATGAATGATTGCTACAACTCAAGGAAAGAACCATGTCTCACATTGTAATCCACTTCATGACGAAATCTTCTCAGGTGCTCAACAATAAACATTCTAGACATAAACAAATACAACAATTAATATCAATGTGTTGTACACCATCTCATCTACCATAAAAAACTATCTGCATCACTCTCCTGACAACTCTTCAAAAATTAATTAATAATCATTTTCCACACATCTCATGTGCCTCATAACAAAATCAATTCATATAGATAAATTCCACAAATTTCAAAATAACAATATCACACTATATACTATCATATAAAGTCACTGTGATATTCTTAAAATTATTCAGCATCGTAATATCACGTGAAAAAGAAAAATGAATTGAAAGAGTGAGACACCATTTCCATAAATTGATGATTCAGTGAGTACAACCAACATGGATGTGTCATACTCATCATGACGAACATGTTGATATATAGTGTTCATGACACACTCACTCTCGGAAGGACATGGTGTCACACCACCACAACATTCATCATGATACTCCACCAATAATGATCATAACCATCATCAATTGTCATAGAAATACTCTACACAATATATTATACAACATAGAAATCACTGGTTTATCGAAAAACTGAATCAGTCAATCTCCAAAGAAACAAAAGATTCGTATCGGATTATTTCTTCTTCCGTTGAGAAATAATGAGTTCCGAAAATTGAAATGACTTCAAATCAATGAAATAATCATGGATGGAAACTCAAATGATGATCATGTTGTCATTATGTCAAAGATCATTCATGATGGATACATCATATGAGAGCTGTTATCCAGTTACAAATAGACTGTTTGATCAATTCCGAAGAATGATAATGTCATTTGAATGAGTGTAGTTGTTGTTGTATTTTTTTGATGTGCTTTATGATAAATGACAGAGGGAAAAACACCTGTGAGCGTCTTCAACAACGATCAACACAGTTGGTGCAACCAGTTGTCCCTAGGCTTCTTCACTTCAATAAATACGTTGCAGCTGCCTGACAGCACTTTGCAAGTGAATGAAACAGTCTACATCCGTAACCACCATTTCAGTTGTTTTTGAGTGCTGTTGTTGAGGTGGATGATGTATCGTTTGAAGATGATGCTGGTTTAGCGTTGCGATTTCTCTTTTTCCGAGCCACGAATATTGTGTGTTTTCGTAATTTTACAATCAATTGTGATATCCTGACGGCCATCACAATAATTTATTGCAATAGAAACGTAATGATGATATTCCAAATAGCAATATGTATTGTTATCGTCTCTCCGAGCCGATATCAATAAATTTATTCAATAAATGATGCGCTTGCGTTGGCCATCTTGCCTCTAAATCAAGTCTAATGATATTTTTAGATTGTCCAAAACCTAAACATTTTTTCAAGTTGATATTTCTCGATAACTACTTCACAGATGTAAAAGATAACAATTCCAAGACATAGAGGACATCGATCCCCTAAACATTGTGGAGAAAGAAGTTTCAATCTGTAATACTTCATCTTATACATCAACAAACAAGAGTGGCTGTAAAACCAAACCCTTTATTTGAGAGTGGTTCACAGCAACAATACTTTGGAGATCAATCATGGAAGCTGTTCAAGGCCAACATATCAAGAAAAGGACTCTTCAATCAACGTTAACGGTATCCAATTTCGAGGGAATACCGACTTTTGCTCGTCCATGTTTAAATTATGACCAACTTCAAGAGTAACATATCACCTACTTGGACGCACAAAATATTTAACTATTTTCACATTCAACTCGAACGAAACAGCAGCGCCTTACTTCCTTATATCTTAATTGATGGAAATATTCAAGTTTTGATCATTCAACGATAATTTTAGAGGATAGTCAACCACCACAGGACCTGATTTTTTAGTACAAAAATAGGGGTTATCTCGATATCCACTATAACAACAAGAAATCTTTCGCTTAATACCTCCTTCCTCTCTGCGTGGGACTAATTGATATTAAAAACAAATTATATATTGTTATATTGAATCTTTCTAAAAATCCTACTGAGAGGAATCCAAACCCTGTGCTTGTACTTGTATTAATAGCATCTTTGGATGTAGTAGTATTGTTCACTGCTCCCGAAATTCTACCTTACCAATGTTCTTGAAACACATGCAAGATCTGGCAAAACTTTATTCATAACTGGTTTAACCTAAACCCAAAAGTGACTTGCGGCAATGTAGACCACAATTGTTGCGTTCAACACTGAATGTTTGAACAATAAATCTAAGAATTACTTGTCACTTCGGTATTATATAATCACTGATTCAAAGGAGTTAAGAAAACCGTTTTGGCCAACGATGTCCATCCACAGAACCACCTCCGAGCAAGAAAGAATTGGTAGAAAATGTGTTGAGCAAAACAGAAAAATCGAAAAAGACGCCATGTAAGTGTGAAAATTCCAAATTTAGAAGGACGGTCTGCTCGTTCAACAGACACAATTTGGATCAGAAAAGAAGAAGCTTGTTCAGAAATTCAAGGAAGTGTCTGGGTTAGAGGAGTCTTTAACAACGCTTGCGAATGAAATGGATCGTTCATCCAACCATTCTTCTCTTGAAACATCTTCATCCAATGAAGCATGTTCATCCACCACTGTGGAGAACGGAGTAAGTTCATCCACGACTGCTGAGAATGAAGTAAGTTCATCTATTACTGCGGAATCAAAGGAAAAAGCTGAAGACCCCGTTGAGAAATTGCTTAAACAATTATACACCTCCTTCTCAATCTCAAACGAAGACAATTATTTTGTGAGAACAAAGAAAGTGAGATTGAAACTCACCTCAGAACAAAAGAAGGTCTTTGAAAGATTTTTCTTCAATTCTAACCATGCGTATAATGAAGCGTGTCTCCTCCATTTCATGTTAGAGCAAAATAAGGGAAAAACACTCCTTACCACCACAGACGATTATTAATAAGGCTTTTTTGACGTTGGTAACAAACAAAATCAGGAGAGATGCGATTTTATAATTTCCATAGATTGTATTGACTTGTTGGCAAGAAATTCTGAATCATACGCATTTTCTGTCTACTTCAATCAGGGCTAGATGTGACTTATTCTATAAGAAATGAGAAATTGTCTGCTTTATGTAGAGGAGGTTTTTTGGAATCGTGGGATCAGCTAAAAAATTCTGATTTTGCAAAACGAGTTTGAGGTAGCTAACTTTTTGTATTGAATCAGAATTGTACATGAAGATGCAACAAAATGTGAATAGTTTCCAAAAAGCATATATTTATAATCATTCTCACATTATAGTGTTATGAATATAACTCCACTTTAAATAAGGGCAGTGGATGGGACTTGATTAATTCCACAAACTCCCTTTCCTTTCAAGAGACGGAAATATCCCTTCTCTCCCCAAGAAGTGGACCATGAGTTTTTCACAATCCAATATTGTTCAATTTTACCATTGGCTGCCTTTTCTTCACCATAACCAACAATCAAGACACCATGATTCAATTCCTCTGGATCACATCTCGATGGATTAAGAATTCCCTTTCGATAGTATTGAAGATAATCAGCATTGATTGCAACTGCAATTGGACCGTTGTTTGCCAACCAAGCAGACATTTCATCTTCATGAGTGGAAACAAAGGTCCAGTTGGAAATTTTCACAACTGCATTCGAAACATTGAATCGACATCTTCCATTAACAGCTTCATAAGGGTAAGAATCCTCAGTGACCAAACCACCGGTCTTGATAATGAATTCGAAACTACTCCACATTAATCCACCATTGCAACCACTGTTGCATGTCTTTTCACCTTCCCACACGACGCAATTGTGGTCACAGTCCACCAATTGTTGTTCTGACAAACTAACGAGTTTTCCTGTTTTGGCAGCATACATTCCTTCAATGTTACCTGTGGTGGAGAATGTCCAACAACTTCCACAAGATCCTTGATCCTTCACTGGAGTTACAGCTTGGTGTTCTCTCCAATCGAAGGCCTTTGGAGCTTCCTGTAATTGTTTAATGGTCACCTTGGCGGTTGCTGGAGAGGGTTGTTTCTTTCCAATCAGAATTTCTCTTGCTTCCCGAGGCGTTTTAGTCTTCATCAAGAACATACTCTTGAATTCTTCTGGAGTGAGATCTGAAAATCTGGTAATTCCCAAATTCTCTCGACCAGTAATGTAATTCTCAAATCTTGCCTTTTCAACGTTGGCTTTGAAGATTTGGTATCGTCTTTCGTGGATTTCTGAGGTACCATATAATTTAACATGTTGTCTGCTGAATTGGGTGAAGAGTCGTTGCATTTCTGATTCGGGGAGCAAGGTAAATGGTTCCTTTGCTTGAATTGAGAGGGTCAAAATAGTCACAAGCAACAGTGTGAAGAGTAGTTTGTTCAACATGGTTGTGTGTGAATAGTGTGTAGATTTGTTTTTTTTGATAGGATATACCCATGCAAGAGATATTTGTGTTGCTTTTGCTTGAATCGGAAGGTAAGTGACTCCGGCTCCGAGATACGTTTCCGTTCCGGTTGTTTAAAAATAACTTTTGTTGCTCCGTACGGAGGAGAAAACCTGTAATTGGAAACCGCCTAAGGCTGAATTCATCCATTTAAGTATGAACAACCCTTACAAGCTTGCATTCGGTTGACCTTCGATGAACGGTTGCTGTAAATCGTTAAGAATTGCAAACATTGTTTAGATTCAATCGGGTATGTAAAGTATTGAATTTTAAAACGTGTTGATGCTGTACTTATCAATGCAGATGACATTATTTGGATTTGCATGTACTCACAATTTGGTGTTTTATGGTTGCTTTTTACAACAGCTATTGATCGGATATAAGGGGACCACTACATACTGATTTCAAATTCTCTTTCTGTTCCTTAGATCTCTGTTGGATCATGCTAGTCTTTGTCATCTTTTCTTTAGGAACATGCTGTAGTAGATTGGCAGGTACGCTGACCTCACGTCGCTGAAATTCCTCTGCAAAATACACTTTCCAATCCAAAGACTTTAGATATGCAACTCTTGCAGGTGCCTTTTGTTCATGTTGATCAATAATCTCGCTAAGACGATTGGCAATGTCAACAAACTCTGGTTGTTGCTCACCTACAGTCACAATTGCATGCAAAAAGAGACCGCGAGCATATTCGCTAACTGCCTGCAACAAATTCGAATAATTGTAATATGGATATTTGTCAGTAGCATCATTAAAAGCCCTCACAAGTGCGTCATAATACGCTCCAGTAAAAACTTCTGATATTGCATGTTCTTCATCTTCGACCTCAGAAAGTTTATAATCAGCATCCGCATTACGAAGATAGCCATGCATTCCTAATGAAATACCAAATTGTTCTGCAAGCTTTGCAGCAAAGTTTTCTGACGAGTGAAGGTTACCATCGGTGGAATTAATCAAAGCGTTGGCCATTGCATCATCTGCAAACACAAAGCTTAGTGCAGATATATCTCCAAATGCTTCATGAAGGCCACGTGTTTGTGTCTTTTTCGACTGCATAAATGTGGGACGCAAACGATCGAGTGAATAGTGACCAGTTTCATGAGCAACAATATCAGGTGTACGACAAGTATAAATCGATTCTCCTTTCTCGCTTTTGAAATAACCAAACTTGAGTTGACATCCAGTACGAAGACGTTGGTAGTAAGCGTTTCTGTCTACCATACCATGTGGACTAATTTCGAGAACACCATGTGGCAACTTGTCCCAATACTCAGCCGCCACTCTCAACTGCTGATCATTAGGAAATGTATTTTTCAATGACTCGAGTGTATCTCTCCACATATTAGCAGTCAATTTGGCTACTGTGAAAGTGTGTAACATATCAAATTCATTAGAAAAAAGTTCTAAACCACCAATCTTTGCAATTTCAACTTTTTCTCTATTTGGTCCGAGTGTAGTCATCTCTTTGTCTTTGGGCCATCATTGATTGTTTGAGGGACACGACACTTTTCAACCTTAGCAAGAATAGTTGGATTGTCCTTGGAAACACAAATATCTTGAGGGTAAAATTGCAAAAGTGTACCTTTGTTGTTAGGCATTCTGGCTTAATCGTTGTTGAATTTTAAATTGTTGATTTTGAAAACCTTTGATTTCATAACATTTAAATGTTTTCCACCCAATGTTCAAATATAGAACAATTCCTTAATGGTTCAAAAATCATGGTAATTCATCCTTTTTGATGTTTCGATTTTTCCTCCAAAAAAAGATACTTTTTGTTATTGAAAAATAATTTAACCTGTGTTTGGAAAGTTCGTTTCTTCTAAAATCAGAATTGACTCTATTCATGAAAAACACATGATCCACCCGTTGTATTACAACAATCGATGCTTATTCTGGGTCAAGGATCTCAGTTCCTATATTGATACAACAAGCCGACTTGTTGTATCACAATATACTGACTTTTGAAACACTCAAAAATACTTTCTTTGTAATCATCATGATGTGGCTACATATTCATGCTCGGAATCAACATTGTAGCCGGTCAAATTTTCAACTGTTTTGCCAGGTCAAAATTTAAGGTCAAAAATTTGACCGGCAAGTTTCAGATGAAACACGATTTCGGGAATAAGGGCTTCCGATGATCTCTTCCAAACACTACATTACGGTACAGATGGGTTGATTATTTTTGTGATCATCAAACCAAAGAGGAGGAAAGAATATGGCTTCGCTTTGTTCTTGGGCGAAAACATTAAGGCTCTCGATGATGTAACATAATTGTATCTTATCGTCTACAACCAATACACCGCCACAGCTTAAGAAGTTTGAAATTTATATCAATATATTGATAAATGTGTTGTGGTTATAGAAAATACCACGAATATGATGACCCTTGTTACCCATCTCTCTCCGTCGAAATACCGGAATGAATAGATGAGATTACTCAATGATAATGATGTTGATATTATAAGGACAACAATTATATCAAGTTGTAGCAGAGTCTGTGAAGTACGAGCCAAGATTTTACGTGGCCTTAATTGGCTTAGGAAAAATACAGGATACTAAAGAGTAACAACGATGATGGACTTTTCCTTCGAATCACACCACGAAATTTGGTGCACACATTACCGAGGTTGATGAGCACGTATGGAAGCATTTTCAGATTTCGATCCTGTTTCCTTCATATTCGGAGCAGCCAAGAACAAATTTCTATCCAAACCGCTTCATCCCAATAAGAAGAAGATCAACGCGACCGAAACCATGATAAGGAACTTTCAAAGAGCCCATCCTAACAGCACAGCTTGCAATATGGTTCTCTAGTATTCATCGAGTTCGGACTAGATCGGGTTACTGTTAATGGAGAAATTTCTTGGTTTGAAAGCTTCGCAAAAACTCAGTGAAGAATTGAGGAATTTTAGTGCAATAAAGATGGAGGTAACAGTTCCAATCAGACAGCATTGCTGATGAGTTGCCGATGATCCATAATCCAAAGATGAAGCGAAAATAATTTACTGATGATGATGAAGTTTTTTTCAACGCCCACTGTTTGCCGCTGTTTTTTGCGAAGGCACGTTGATTAAGGCACATCATACCATTAAGGAAAATCGATTTGGCCCTTGCTGTCCGTTTGTATACATTTGACCAAATATATTCCCGGTCAAAATTTTTAACCTTCCTGAACCTGGACTTTCCAGGTCAAAAATTTGACCAGCTACAAACATTTCCAACTCCGAGCATGATTATGGAGCTCCTTTTCAATCATTGTCATCCAAACTATTTTGAAGAATTGAGAGTAGTGTGTTTCAACAATAACAATGGAATTTATGATGAAACAGTTAATTGTTCAGTCCCAGTCTTGTTTTCAGAGGGTCAAATAATTTTTTTACCAAGAAATTCAGTTTCGCCCCTCGGACGCTATTCTCAGTGTGACGATAACGAAACCCACACTGGGATTACTAATGACAGACCAAATACAATCACAGATTGAAAAAGAAGCAGTGCTCCGTGCAACACTCCTTTGACAAAGTCATCTCACACATCCACAATTTTTGGGAAGCACCTTCGATTTTCATTCTCACAACCGAAAAAATTGTTGAACCTTCCCACAAGAATGACACAAAGCAACCACCACCAACCACACATCACGCGGCCGACGCGTCATAGAATCACAAGAACACCCATAACAAATACTCTTCTACTTCTTTTCCTTGTTGTGGGATTTGTGTTGTGGTGTGAAAGAGTCAAGGCCGATCCATCACTTGAAGTTTCATTTGTACCATCCACAACGTATGTGAATGACACTTCAGGAAAGCCAAAACTCTCTGTGAAAGTGAATAATTGGCTGATGCCTTTAACAGCGGCCTTTGAATATCAAATATATTACCAAGACGACTATGCGAAAATTCCAATGACAGATAAAATCAAAACACCCTCTCTGAATGTCATTCCATTTACAACGAGATTTGAAATTGTGTTACCAGTATTCACTGCGGTCGCCAATTACACTGCCAGAGTCGATGTAAAAACGTTGAATTCTTTTCCCGTTGCAAATACTATAAATCCATGGTCCGTCAACAAAATGATCATCCAATCATATAATGAATTTACATCCTTTGATACGTTAAGCAAATTATCATTGACAGATTTGGAACAAGCTTCTACAAATTCCTTATTATATGCATTGAGTTCGCACAAACAAAAACTATTGGACTCACTCACGATGGCTCTTTGTGCCATGAATCCCAATACTTCAACATTGCATGATACCAAGTCATTGGTCAATTCATTTAAATCTGTTTCTTCATTTAAAGAAGAATTATCACAAATGAGCGTTGGAGGAATTACCGATTCCATTAGTGATTATTCAAAAATTATGGTTTCTCTTTCGAAGAATCAATCTTCCAATTCTGAAGTTCAATCGATAAGTAATATGGTTGACACAGTCAAGGATGTATTGGGTATTATTTCAAATTGCATGACTGCATTGAGATCTTATACAAATAACAAGTATAGCTCAGTAATTGAAAATATGATTTCAGTGACAGCATTGACAGCTAACACGACAGACAGTCATATATTGAACAATGAAGCTTTTGAGGTAGTGATATTGCCAGATTTGACAAACCAAACAAGCAACCCATTCCTGACTCTCAATGGAAGCATCATTATTTTCACTCCCAACTCATTAATTTCTGAGACTGCGAAATCGGGAAAGAAACTCTCTTTGGGAAGTGTCAAATATTTGTATAGCTCAAAGATTGTACCCAGCCAAACTGTACAATTAGAATTCAATTCTACCACAACAACTATTATAACAGATACTTTACAGGACTTGTCAAATACCATTCAAATCATTTCACAAAACATCACACTGAACTCCACTCTAACTAATAACTCATCTATGCCATTGATTCGAGTTTCCATAGCCCCAATCATTTCAGTAGAATATTTACAAAATGGATTGATTACAGCTCTCACAGATTTGCCTCAACCCATTCAAATACTTTTTCCCACTCTCAACACGTCAATGATTTCTCGAATTGAGCAATTTACGAAATCATCTAACCTCAAATATAATTTTATATGCATGTATTGGAATGAAACAGTGAACGCTTGGAAATCAAATGGATGTGTAACACTCCAGCTATCAACCTATTACATTAGATGTGAATGCGACCACACAACCAAATTCACTTCATTTATTGAATTTTCACAAGATACACGCTCAACCTTCTCCTCTGACCCACAATTAATTGCACAAATTATCATCTCGTCCATATTTATCATTTGCATTCTGATCATCCTTGTAGGATTGGTCATCATGTCAAATGTCAAAGCTTTCACCAAACAACCTATTAAGAGTCGATGGATATTCCCATACCTTTCACTGATTGCTCTACTCATTGAAAATGCCTTTTCCAATATTGTTTCAGAATCGATCACGCTCAGCATTAATAATGGAGCTTCCATTAGTTACGACGCTGTCAATATTTTCAGAGATGTGTCTGCATTGGTTGTGGTTACTTTGATTTCTTTGGCAATTTGGAATTTCGTGTTAAACCACATTAGATACATTTTGTTTAGATACATGTATGAAATTATGAGCATGCTCAATGAGAGACAACTTTCCTTAAAACAATTATCACCAATTGTGAAATTCATTTCCAACAAGAAGTTTATGATTCTTTCCAACTGTGTCATCAGCTTATGTGTGATTGGCTATTTTGTAATTTTTGTTTCTCTGGCAAGAACAAGTGTCATTACATCGACCACTTTTTCATGGATTATGAGTGTATCCTTCTTTGTATTTGTCATGGTTATGACCACATGCTTAATTGGAATTTATTTGTTTGATATTTATATGGAGGTCAAGTACAAACAAATATCGAATGAAATGAAAAATGTGGGCAAGTTCATCATGTCAAGTGACCACGGTAACAACAACAAAACTCAACAACAATCAGGCTCATCAAAATTGGAGCATTTCGTACAAGGTGTGACAAAATCATTCCCTAAAACGGGTGCAAAAGGCGTTCAAGTGAATTGGAAATTTTACTCAAATTCATCGTTCCTTCGAAGAATGCAACATTTCTTTTTAACCAATGACAGATTATTTTTCAGATTAGAAGCTGTTATATTTTTCGTTTCCATTGCACTCTTCATTATTGCTTATGGTTTAGGATTTTCCGTTCTTGCCGAGACTAATTCAACAACGAGCACAGATACTTCAACCTCGTCTTCACCATTTACCAACGATAACCTCACTCTCAAACTTGCATTTAATTTAGTTTTTCAAACATTATTTGAAGCAGGATTTATCATTGCCTTTGGTGGATTGGTATTTATTGGATCGTTCATTAAGAATTCCAAGAATTTATCAGCAAGAAACAAATCTTCGACCACCGATTCCGTAGTAGAGAGCGAACAGGATGCTGTAACAAAACTTTTGAAGAATCCAAGCACTAAAAAAGTTTTTGAGCAATTTTGCAAATTGGAATTCTCATTGGAGAATGTGATCATGTGGACCAAGGTTGAGAATTTTAGAGAGTTATTGAAAAGCACAGACAGTAGCCACGATTTATTTAAAAAGATTTGTGAAGAAATAGAAGAATGGAATGAGAGTCACTTTTCATCCAGTTCTCGATTTGAGATTAATTTTTCTTCACAAGCAAGAGAAAAGTTTGAAAAAGTTAGAAAAGAATTGACAGCTCACAAAAACAATCATGCATCAACTCTCTCAGATGAATTACTGAAACAAGTTTCTGACTTTGCCCATAGTGTAAACTTGGAGCTTATTTTAAACATCAACGATACCTATTCGAGATTTATTCTCACTCCTGAATACAAGGCTCTCTCAAGTATCGCCGTTCACTTGAACTACCGAGCTCATGATTCTACTATTTTTGAAAACAGAAAAACTAGAAGACTTCTTCTCAACTTGAATACTATGGCTGCAAAAAAGGCCATCAATTTAGGCGCTATTGAACAGGCCAGAACCTTTGTCAATATTGCACGCGAGTTGTTACTCTGTGAAAACACTAATATTTGGGAAGAAGACTCTTTCTTATACAATATTGCTTTTGATTTACTGATTGCACAAGGAAATTGCGAATACTCTTCAAACATTGACTCTGCCATTTCAATTTTCAACTCTGCCATTGAAAGATCAAAAACGAAGCATCACCTTTATCAAGCATGCTATCATGCTCAAATGGCATACGTGTCACTAGGGCAGTTTGAAAAGGTTTTTGAAATACTTCAGAGCCATATTTTTCCATCGAAGGACGAACTAAAATTTCTAACATTTCAAACCGATGTTGAACAACTGAAATTATTTATGAAAACTAAGATGGATTACTTGAAAAACACTTTGTTGAATCGCTTTACATCTAAACAAGATATTATGAACTTGCCTGATCTGAATGATTTGGAAAAGATCAATTTCATTAACATTCTAGCCATGAGTAGTCCAGGTGTCTATTGCATGCAAAGCGCCAACAGCAACTATATTTACATGATCATCATTCTTGTTTGCAGTGAAATCATTCTTCAGCACGGGCTTTGTGAATATGCACCTTTTGTTCTTTGTGCATTAGGTTGGTTTTGGTGCACATTTGAATTATATCCACACATGCATATTTTCGTGGAAGGAGGAGTAGAACTTGCAAGAACCAAATACAAGAATCAGAAACATTTGGCTGCATGTTTGTTATTACGACTTTTGAGCTTTTTTATTCTTCCTGTGAATTCGTTGGAAGTATGGAATATGGCTGAAGAGGCTTTTTTAGTGACCATGAAAAGCAATAACAAAGATATAGGAGTATTTACCATTGGACAATATACATATCATCATTTTTTTGATGCGAATGGCGATATGAAAACCGCTATTAGTTTAAGCAACAAAGTCATAGAAACATTGAAGCATATGGGAAATTTTGGTCTAGCAGATACAGCCCTTGCGCAGTTAGAAATGAAACAAGTGTTGTGTGGTGAACATGAACGCTTTGAACCTCCCTACTTGACAGATGTTTTCAGTCAGCCCTTTTACAGTTACTATCACTTCATGTTCAAGGGTATTTCATTGTACTTTCAACGAAGCGTTGAAGAGGCATTTCAATGCTTTGAGAAGACATACGAATTAAGATATAATACAGCTGGATTGAACAATGAATGGCTCAATGCGTTGTTTAATGGGCTAACTGCTTGTGAATATGAAACTTATTTGCTGAAAAGTGCAACAGCTCCCTCACTAGTTGATAGATGTGACAAGCTAATAGAGTATTCATTGCAAACCATTGAAAAGGTTTCACACACAAATCCATTGATATTTCAATGTTGGCATCAATTACTGTTAGCTGAACGTTTACTCGTTGATTTTCGACGATTTGGAACGAAAAACACAGCTACAATTATTTCCACCTATAACAGATGTCTCAAGCTAGCAATTCAAGAACGGAATTTACTCATTCAAAAATTAGCTTATTGGAAAATTGGTGTCCTGTACCATGAGCTTGAAATGGACGATAGTGTGAGCGGACGATATTTCTCTCATGCTTATGCTCAATTTAATGAAATGGGAATTATTATATTTGCTGACTACTTGTGGACGAATTATAGACAACAAATTGAAGCATACGAGAAGAGTCTCTACGAGAATCAGTTAGAATTGTCTAAACAACCATCTAGCAACATCTCGTCACAAGATAGTTTTATTGATCTATCAAAACCACACTGCTTGCTGTCACCTTATAACAAGAGCGTAATTGAAGAAAATAGTGATCTAGATCTGAAAGAAATATTTACTTCGATTTTACCTTTAATTAGGGAACATACTGAAGCCAAGCGGTGCTGCTTGATGTTAAAAAGAAATTCTATTCTGTATTTAGATGCAGAATTAACTACAAACAAACAGGACAGTATTGATGTAGAGAATACAAATATTTCACCAATAATGACCATCTACGAAGGAAGAGCAATAGACTCAACACTGGAATTGCCAATACCTGTAACAATGGCTTACAGAACTTTACGAACTAAAACAGAACAACTCTATCCAAAGGAAGACAAAACTGAACCTTATTTTGAAAAGAACCAGAAAACAATTTTCTCTGCTTTATGCGTTCCCGTAATAAGAGAACGTAGTTCAATTGGATGCATTTATTTAGAAAATAGCGAAAATGCAAGTGGTTTCTCTGTGGAAAACGTGACTATGGCCAATCTAATCATCTCTGTCAGCATTGATAACGCAACAATTTTCAGTTCCATTAACAACTCTTTTACTCGCTTCTTGCCGTCTGAATTTTTAAAGATGATAGGAAAAACACACGTTACCAAAGTACAACCAGGTGATGCTGTGACAAAAGAAATGACCATTCTTTTTGCAGATATATTTGGATTCACAGAAATAATTGAACAGTTGCTACCGAAAGAAGGATTTCATTTTGTCAACAGATTATTATTGGAGGTAAGCATGAATTTGATTTGAACATTGTAACTTAATGGGTATCTTACTTTAAACATCTAACAGTTAGCTCCACCAGTTTCAAAACACGAAGGATTTATCTATAGATATCTAGGTTTGTAGACATTTTATCGAACAAGCTTGAATATTGACAATTTTAACAACATTTATGGTGATTAACTCGATAACCCTTGATTTTTATATTGAAACATGAAACATTACTTTCTAAAGGTGATGCAATCATGGCCTTATTTCCTGATCCCAATTCAGCCGTCATGGCTGCTCTAGAAATAATTTCAAATCTCGAAAAATTCAACAAGAATAATATTTGCAATATCAAAATTGGAGTTGGAATTTCCAATGGCACAGTCAACATTGGAACAGTCGGATATGAAGATCGAATAGATGCTACAATCATTTCTGATACAACATACATTGCTGCAGCTTGTGAATCTCTTACACGAGTGTTTAACACTCAAATTATTGTCACCGAAAGTGTGATCCCATTCATTTCATCCACTGCAACAAATGATCATGTACACTTGACCCTTCTTGGACAATTTATTTTACCTCATCATAATTCCAAAGCAAGAAATTTGTATGACGTCAAAAAAAAGAGTTCCAAGACAGAGGAGTCTTGGTTGAAAGAGCGTTCTGAACTCACCCAAGTTTTGGACTTGTTTCGAGAGAGGAATTTTCGAGAATGTTTTTCAGCAGCAACGCAACTCATTAAGCAGAGTCAAAACAAGTGTATGGTTTCCATATGCCGAAAGTACATGGAAGCATGTGAACGGTATGCTGATCATCAACTACCTGAAGATTGGTGTGGCGAAATTCGTTTAGGTAGAGAGGGAGAAATAAAACCTTACCCCTTCTCGGTTTAAACTCAGGGTTGTCCTACCAAATATCTCCTTTCTCAAAGATTCAAAGGTCCTAAGATAAGTCAGGGTTGCAATGCAAATCACCTTTAAAGGCCTTCTTGCTGGTCTAAATATGATTCCATCAAAGAAGAGTCTGGTCTAAAGCAAGGTTCCATCAAAGAAGAGTCTTGTTGCATTTATTTAATGAAGTAACTTGGATGCCACAACCACTATCTATGATTTACATGCATGCCATTAATGCAATCTGAACAATCACAGCCATAATCACCCACATGTTGACAGTGCTCGAGTTCACACTGTATCCAGTATTCGCTTTTTTCGAATTTCCAACAGCTCTACTACTTGCTGCAGCTGGAGGAGTGGAAGTCGCAGCTGAGATTTTATCAAAAGTGTACGAACAAGAGCTGCCAAATCGAAGTGTTGAAGTGGTGAAATTCAAGGCGGCACTACCGTAAGGGCAAGCAAAATAGTCCTCGGATAGAATTCCTGAATATTGGGGAGAGTACAATGTGTAGTCTAATTGTGAGTTGGTGCATTGACCTGCTGCAGTTGATGCTTTGATTTTGATTGAGTTATTATCAATACGGGTGATAACAACATTGGGAGTTGGACAACAACATTTTGCTTGATCACATTCACTTTTGATTTTGTATGTACCTATCCACGAAGATGCGTAATCTTTGGCTGGTACAACCTTGGTAAAGTTTGCACTGAAACCTATCAAGTTATCTTTTTTGGCAACAAATCTGAAGTTGCCAACAGGACCTAAAGGAAAAACTCCATTGAAGGATGCTGTACCACCGCTCAAAGATGAACTAGTGCCAGCGTTGAATGCAATGTATTCGTTCTTGTTGTTGGCATCAACACCTTCGATTGAGAAGGCAACAGTTCCATTAGCACTTGTCATTAAACTTCCTCCATAAAACATCCCTACAAGAACGTCGTATGAACCAGACTTCTCAACAGCAGATACTCTCAATTCTGTGGTGATATCTGTACATTCAGCATTCTCAAAGAACTCTATAGGACATGCAAAGAGTTGATTATTACACTTGACACTGAGATAAAATTGAGAAATATATTGGAATGTGTTTGCGAGTTCTCTATTCAAGCATGTGATACTATCCTCAGAAACTTGTGTAAAGGTATTGCTGTTGACATCTTTAACAATGGTGTTAAAGAGACTTCCGTCAGTGCTTTTAACAATTACAGTATATTTGGAAACATATTTACCAGAAGGACAAACAGCACTACGGTAGGGTCCAGAAATGAGTTTCGTTTGACCGGCTGGGACACTATCACTCACAGGGGTAAGAACGCTAGTGCAAACATCTTGAGTGGAGCGAACTGAGAATTCTTCACTTGCAAATGAGAAGGAAGCAGTGGTTAGAGACAAAAGGACGAGAATAACAACAGAGAGGAAACAACGAGGTTGGAGTTGGGACATGTTAGTTGTTGCCTTGTGTTGAACGTGATTATTTTTTTGTGTGCGTTTGTTAACAGAAAGGTGTCAAGTTTAAACAAATGACGAGATGCGTCAGGAATTCTGTTCGCGTCAACAGTCGACTGGCGACCAATCGCCTTCAAGTTACTTTGGAGCAACGTTAAATTGGGTTGACAAGGATGTACGAAAATTTTTTTAAACAACAAACCTACGAAGCCAACCAGGATTACAATGAAAGTTTTGAGTATAAATACAATGGTAGTTGTGCTTAACCCAAGTTTAAAAACTACATAAACAATGAGGAGCAGTAATCAACCATTATTCGATATCTTTCAGAAATATACACTCCTCGTGTAGCATGGGCTTGAAACTGGAAGTGTGTACCTCGAAATACCATTCACGACTTCTGTGAAATACCCATTCACCTTCAATTCCCTTGATTGCTACAAGAACTTTGACACCTTCAAAAGATACCCTGTGCAGTTAATAGTAATATCATCTTTATTGAAACAAGCATGCAAACAAAAGAAACTGAGTCCCAAGCAAATAGTCTTTGAAAATCATTTGTTTGAGGCAAAGAATTCAAAATCCAGAAACGTTAAAAAGACCAAATATTTGTGTAAAATAAGGTAATAATATAAATATGTCAAAATGAATCTACTATTGGATAAATAGAGAGTGTGTGTGAATAATAGTGAAGTTGATGTGTTCATGAAAAAATTATTGCTGACTTAAAATTTAGTCCGATACTGATATACTATTATCCACACGAAAAATGATGACACTCAAGATGACATCACTTCTTACTTGTGAGAAACAGGCAACAACAATTGGAATTGGTCATACAAAACCAAGACAAGAGCAGATCCAACAGTTCTGACTGCATTGGCACCTGCACCCTTGAACATGGCCTTCATACCCTCTTCCCTGAGAATCTTTCCGAAACAATCGACAGTTCCTTTGTAAATCCATTGATCTTTTGGCTTCTCCGATTGCATCATGAGACGTCTTCTAACAGTATCGAAAGGATACGATGCATAACCGGCAGCAATCGAAACTGCTTGAGCGAGAGCAAACTTGGTAATAACACCCATAAAACCTGCATCACCATGATATGGATTCTTCTCTCTCAAAGTATCATACAAACCGAAATAGACACCTCTGTATGGAATGATACCAGCAACGGAAACACCAAAACCATTGTATAGACCCATGAAACCGCTTGGTCCTCTAGCAGTCTTGACCAAACAATCCCACAATCCCTTGAAATCTCTATGATTACCAACATCGGAAGCAAGACGAGTACGAGCATAATCCAATGGATAAACAATACACAATGAACCAGCACCTGCCAAACCACCTGCTGCCATCTGTACCAAGAAGAATTTAAAGAAGTCGGTCTTTGATGAATAATCAGGGAAGAGCTTCTTTATCGAATCCTTGAAAGCAAAGTTGAAGGCTTGTGTTGGGAAATATCTGATCACGTTTGTACCGTTTCCTCTCCAGAAAGCAATCAATCCTTCATTCTTTGCAACACGGATGAAGCAATCAATGATGCCTGTATATCTTGGTACTTGTCCGCTACGGATCATGGGATTGGCATCTTGTGTTTGAATCAATAACTTTACACGTTCAATAGGTGCTGTTACTGTTTTATCGATGGCTCCAGCAAGACCTCCCAAGAGAAAATCTCTAGCGAAAGCCTTTCCAGTGTGTTCCTTTGATGATGATGATCCGTGAGACATTTTTTTTTAAAATTTTATGAAAGATTAAATTGTAATGGATTGTGATCTTTTGCAACGGATGACGAGAATGACAACAATTCAATGTGGAGACCAGATCAAAACCATGATGAAATTATTATTGATTAAATTCTTTGAAAATTAACTAATTGAGAATCCTTCTTTCTCGGAATTCTTTGGAAATTTAATAGGAGTTGTCATCCGCATCACGTTGCAAAAACGACTGCATAAAAAGAGAATGGAAGTGTTGGCACGACAATCTTCGATCACCTCAACAAGTATCATGTCTCACTTTAGAAACTGCAATGGTAAATCTCAGAGCATCGGTTAAGCATACTCGAGCTTGGATAATAAGTTCACAAACTCTAAAGAAATGGTGCCAAATTAGGTTGAAGAAGTTTTCAACGAAGTGCCATCCAACAATGTGTCATCAAGAATGGAAGGAGAAGGTGCCAGCATGTCGTTACATGTATCAGGATTGTCTTGAGGTTGAGTTGATTCCTTCTTTGTACTAAACAAAATAGCAATGAATGACATCACGTTGCGACAACTGGTCGGGGTCAAACACCAAATTTCATTCATACAAAATGCAAAATCACGCCAGCTTGTCTTAAATTTGTCACATCATATGGTTTACAACAAGCCATTTTTATGAGGACCAATAAGCAATGAGATGAATTCCCAACTCTTTTGACAAATGAAGGATTGTCATTTCACCTTCAAATCACTCCAGGCAAACGGTGTATGGTTAAAACAAGACAAAAAAAAACAAATCAAACACACAATCATGCAACAACAACAACAGCAACCACCCATGCAGCCTTCCATGCAACCACCCATTCAACCTCAACCATCCATGATGATGTATCAACAACAGCAACCACCCATGTCCTATCCACAAATGATGATGACTGGCCAACCTCAATACCAATACCAACAACAACCACAACCAACCATGCAACCACCACAACAACAACCCAACTTGGGACCACAACAGACTTATCCAAATTATGGAAATCAACCCATGCAACAACCTCAACTATATTCTCAATATCCTCCTCAACAACAACAACAACAGTATGGAAATCAACCCATGCAACAATATCCATATCAGTATCCTCCAATGATGAATTATCCTCAACAAGAACAACAACAATCCATGAAACAATTACCTCCATTGCCCATGAAACAACAACAACAACAGCCCATGCAACCAATAATGACCTCCACGACGACCACAGTCAGCACTTCTTTCCCAGTTCAAGGTGGAAATCCAATCATCATGATGGATTCTCCTCAACCCAATGGCAACCTTCAAACTCTACAACATTGTGCCACTAAATGGTTTGAAAAACGTAAGGAAGTACTTACCAAGCTTGCTGAATTGACCGATCAACTCAATAAGAGATCTCGCTCCACGACCAAAGCCAAAGTAGGAGGAACCGTGTCAAACATTGTAGGAGCTTCCTTAATTGTTGGTGGATTAATTACAGCTCCATTGACTTTGGGCGGAAGTTTGGTGGCCACCGGAGCCGGAGCTGCCTTAGTCGGAGGCGGAACTGCAGCCACGGTCGGAGCAGCTGTCTCGGAATGGAAGCATGCCAAGAAATCAGCCAAGGCCATTCAAGAAGCTTTGGAGCAAGACACGAAACATGCCAATGAACTCATTGCTCTCGCCTATGATTTTCGCAATTCGGATCCAACCATCGATCAACAAAGTTTGACCTTCATGAGTCCCACAACCTCCGCCAGCTCAACTGTAACCGTGTTGCAACTCGTTCAAGCGTTAGTCAATCAAAAGCAAATCAGTTTCCAACAGACTGGAAAATTAACTCATGGTCATGCTGGTGCTGCAAGTTTGGCAAGTTTGGTAGTGAAAGGTGTCGTTCCCATTGTGAGTGTTCCTATTGACTTTTGTTTGTTGGTGAAGGAATCTAAAAAGTTGCATGGTAAGGAACCATCCAAGTTGGCCACTCAAGTTGCTCCAATTATTGAGAATTTGAAATATCAGACAAAGATGGCCACAGGAATTTCCTCTCTTTAAAGCCGTCAGTCTGTGCCCTAAAGTGATTTCAATAAATATATATATATATTATCCTATTGAACTGGTAACAACTGAATGAATTTAAAAATTCGCTATTCGAATAACTTTCACGTTCGTTGAGAATTCATAAAAATAAACTCTCAAAATTATTAAAAAAACATCCAACTTGCTCTTTTCAATTCTTCAACCACAAGATCCGATCATGAATAATCATAATCACGTGACTCCAAATTCCACATACAACGACCATTGGTTCCATATCCATGATCACAATCTTCTCCATTCATCCACACGGACACCAACAATAATGGAAGATCATCCACTCACGTCGACCTCACAACCAACACACGAAACCATTCCTTCTTCAGATCTCTTTGAACTCGAATACGAAATGATTTACAACAATGTTCATTATTTGAGTGATCCTCTCATTCTCACTCATATCGTTTCATTACTCATGGAGTCCTTGAAAGAGAAATTTCTAGAAGAACAAATTGCATCATTCTCTCAGCCCTCTACCACAACAAACTCGTCCGATAATGAAAAAGAGTCCTCTCGAATCATTGCTCATGAAATTCTCAAATTTCGTCTTGTGTGTAAATCATGGAAGAAAGTTATAGATACGTCCTTCATGCCCACTCTTGTAATTCCTCATTTGAAAAAGTGTTTACACGATCAGGAGCAATCGGTCACTGATGGAACTGCTTTTACATGTTTTAGAATTCCAGCTGCATTGTTATTTGTGTTTGCTTTTGGTGCTGGTCACATTGGAGATCATGTTTTAGAGTCTTATTGGAATACCAATAAGAAGGAATTGGGAAAAGTGGTGGCTCGAGCTTCGTTTTTATTGTCCATCTATACATTTAGGACAACCATGATGTTTTTGCAAGGAAATCCAGTGGTGCTGCCAGCTGTCGTTGCAGGTGTGATTGTGGATCAAGCCATTGAGCAAATTTTGAAATATAGAAACAAGTCAAAGCTTGCCAATAAGCAGCATTCTCTCGCAGAGTTGGAAGAGAATATGAAGTACGCCAATTCTTGTATTCAAAATTGTGAAATTGTGAAAACAATGTCCGATCGAAATTCTTCCAAAAACAAACATTCCTGTTTCTATGTCATTCGAGTGACCTTGAAAATGAATGAAAACGAATTGAAGTACAAATTGTACAAAAAGTACACCGACTTCAGAAAATTATATGATTTAATGTGTCAATGTGTGAAACAAGCTCATTTACTCGAAGAAGATGATCAAACACCTTTATATTTCCCAGAAAAACAATGGATTGAAAGCTTTTTGAATTGGAGACCTGAAGAAGTCATTGAACAACGAAAGAAGGTCTTTTCTAAAATGTTGAATTTACTCGTGAATCAATCAGCAGTATATGACAGCTGTGAAATTATGAAATTCTTCTCTCCAGATCACAAGATGGAAGACAATGAAACATTGGAGGATGAACAGTCCAATGAAGACAAGCTTAATAAGGAAGAAACAAGTAGTCCTCTCATCCACGACGATGAACATGATGACATTGAGGACTATGAATGGAGACTTTTGAAAAAAGCCGATTCTCAACTCGAACAATGATTTCCAAAGTTTGTTACATAAAATCCATGAACTTTGTTATTGCTTGGATTTCATAAATTTCACTAAATTATTGAAAGCATCCTCACTTCTCACATATTCTCTTGTCTTGTTGGTCATTAATTCAAATGCCTCAGTTGCTGTTGTATCGAGTGGAATGTCTTGATCAAGAGTTGGATTAAATCTAAAATAAGTAATGTTCTTGTCTGTCGTTTCTGAAACAATGTCCATGACTCTTCTATGAATGGCCTCACTCGACATGCTCAATTCGAAAATATCCAACAAGGTGTTCACATTAGATGAGATCAGTTCAGTATTTTCTGACTTGCTATTATTCGATGAGGAGGACGAGAATGAGAACCATCCTCCCTTATTGGTATTGGTCTTGGTAATTTTTCCAGTTCCTAAACTCACAATGCAAAAATTCTTATGATTGGGAAAGAGTTTCTTCATCTCACTCACTGCAAGCTCTGTTGGATTATTATTACTCACTCCGCCATCGATAAAGTGACACGAGCCAATTTTCTTTTTTTCAAAATACACGGGTGCTGCCGTACTTGCTCTCAACGCACTGGCAACGGTCACGTTTTTACCATTCCATGTGCCTTTGTATCTTGCGGGATGATTGTCTTTTTGGAAAGGACAAGGATAGGTTCTAAAAATGTAGCTAATGGCTTCATCTGTTGTGGCTCTTGATGGAATTTCTGTTGTGGATTCCATGCAAGACAATGCATTATCTTCTGTTGCTACAGCACTGTAGAGACTATCCGTGCTCATGGAACGACCATTATTGGCCAAACTCGATGATTTGCTTACAGTTTCAGTCGCTTCTTTGCAATCGTCTTTTTCATGCATGCTCGATTTGGGAACTAGAGTACTCACAAAGAAGGCCTTTGGAGAAGTGACATGTAAATCATTGAGGGTGAGAATGTCATTGCCATCAAAAGTTGGACGTCCAACTTGATTCAAAATTAATGATTCTAATTTACTGGCTTCATAAAAGAAACCAGAACTCACGACCTTGTAGAATTTTGTCACGGCCTCGTTTAACAGTTGTTTGGAGCTGAAAATCTTTGTTGCAAATTCTAAATAAAGTGAAAGAATAGTCTCTGCATCGAAACCCTGTGGTTGTGAATACAATGAAGTGTTCATCGAGAATGTATCGAGAAATGATAAGGCAATGAACAATGATTGAGGATCATGTCACGAGGAATGATTGATGAATTAAATAATTGGCCAAAATATGGTATTATCATGAAAAAAACATACCGCTTGAATCGAGCGAGCACACAGAGCTCCTGTTGAAGTTCCACACACCAAATGGAACATGTCTTTCAATTTTCTTCCTGTTCTCTTTTCTAACTCTGCCAAAATTATGGCCAAAATAATTCCTCTATGGGCACAGAACGATTTACCACATTCATCAAATTTAACACATGTGGAAGAGTTAAATGTCAATTACTTACCGTGTACCTCCTCCATCGAGTGCCAAGACGCAAATAGTTTCATCCGTGTCAGGTAGTGACGGTGTTGATGAAGAAGAAGAGGTATAGTCACTCTTATCCAATTGAAAATTGGACATTGATTTGCCAAAAGTCTTCTCCAAAGAAACAAATGGATTGTCATCCCTTGATACATAATGATTTCTGAGAGTTGGGTCCATAAGTGAAACACTTGAACAAACTTTGAAGGTTCTGTCCAACGATTTCATGATTGACCATTCAAATGGAAAATCGCAAGAATAACTATTATTGTAACGCAATAAATTAGTAACCATTTCTAGAAAATGCACATGACTAGCAGAGGTAATGAGTTGATCTTTTTCAATATAAGGATTTTCCAATCGACCAATTTTTTCATAACCATGATACTTTTTCCAATGAGTCTCCATTTCTTTCAGCAACAGACAACAACTTCCCAACTTGAAAGAAACACCCAATGCTGTACACACATTTCTAATAAATTGAATGGGTGACTTGTCATAGAGATCGTACTGATAATGTGTATTGTATTGCACAATGACCGTGGCAATTTTCTTTAAATTCGAGGCATTCACTTTTAACATGGTTGGTTGAGATCGTGGTGTCACATTTCTACTCACAATCGATGCTCTCAAAATGGATGGGTCAATTTGAGAAAGATCAATCATGTCCACAATTCCAAATTCAGTCCATCTCATGATATAATTTCCAAACTTAATTCCCAATGCTAACATTCCATGATATGGAATTGTAAATTGAGCAGAATTATCAATACTACCACTGCTATTATTACCATTTAGAACATATTTTGAAAGTGATGAATAATAGAGCCAATAATCAACATCAATTACCACGACAGAGAGCGCATCTTGATGCATGACACATTCTTGTTGTTGAGTAGTCTTTTCTGAATTTGCAGATTTATCAGTGAATGGCAAGAATTTTGAAAATTTGGCCATCGTGGATTGTGAAGTTCCCAACAGCTTTTGAAACGTATTGGCCATGAGTTGATCAACATTTCCATAACACATGGCAAGAGTTTTGATCATTAAATTGGTACTATTATTGTTGGAATTGTTGTTGGAATTATTACTCGTAGTTTGATTTGTATCCTCGCTACCCATCAAGCCTAAAAAGCTCAAAGCCTTCGGAGATAGTTTTCGGAGGAGTAAATTTGTTGCATCGGAATTTTGCGAATTTTGTGAGGCCATTTTGTTGATTCGAAATTCAAAAAATCAACTCGATGATCATAAAAATAATAACGTTTCCAATATGAAAATTCAAAATAAACAAAACCACAGAGTAACGTGTTGCTGGAATATTTTTTTTTGATTTTTTTGTCTTCTTGCTGTCAAACTTCTTGATTTGGCATTCGATTGTGCTTCCAATTTGAATAACCCAAATTCCAATAGCTTTGTTCGAGTATCGGGACAAGGGAGTGCTTAATTCTTGCATGCACAATTTCTTGTAAATTTAAATATTTTTACTTGTCACAATTATTGATAAATGTAAGACTTGTCAAAAGTATTCAAATAAGCATGAATGCTTGGTTTTTCATCCTTTTCCGTCGTTGCAATATGCACAATTCCATAATTATTATCCTTGGTCCATTGATGATGTTTAAAAGTCCATCCTTCTCTCAAAGTTTCACTCACTTTGATCATAAACTTCAATACTGCATTTTCAGTAAAGGACATTTCAATATTACACACGGCACTACTTGTCAATTGTTCACACACAATCTTTCCATCTTTTTTAATGGTAGTTGAACCTCCAATGTGAACATCGCCTCCTAACACGACACAATTTCGATTGGGATGTGAAGAAATCCATTTTCGAATCATTTCTAATAAATCAATTTGTTCTGGATATTGTTTTCCAAAGGTCCAGTGATCTCTGAAATCATCCAAATCGGATCTCATTTTAGGTAATGCCTCTGTCAATTTCTTATTAAGGAAAATTAAGGGAACCGAGCATACCACAATGAGAGATTTGATTTGAGGTGTCGAGAGAGGAGATGATCCTTGTTGTGTTCCAAATAACCATGAATTCAAATCATTCCATTGATCCTCTCCCAAGAAAATCTTATCACCTGCATTGCTGGATAAAAAACTTCTCGCAGCTCTCAAATCCAACACCAAAATTCCAACATCTCCAATGATGTGATAATATGCTTCATGTTTGTTGGACATTCGGACACGATCGTCAATATCTTCACGTAATGCTCGTTGATATTCCCAATAGACTTGTCTTGCCAATGATCCAACATAATATTCTGGTGTGTCTTTGCGTTTGTCGGCTTCATTGGATCCCCAATCGTCACGAATTTCATGATCGTCCAAAATCATTAAATTGCTCACTTGTGAAATAAATCTTCGTGTTGCAGGATGATTCCAATTGAGACGATAATATTTTCTGAAATTTTCCTTAATGGCTTCTTCTTCTTGAGGAGAGACTTGATTTCGACCTTTACAAATTTTCATACCTTCCTCGAATGAATTGTGACCAAAATCAGCATAAATTTGATCCCCATGTGAAGTAGAACATCAACTTGATCGACTTTTTCCAACAAACGTTGCCACATATCCTTTTCGGGATTTCTACGTTCGATAAAATTACAACTCAAACATGCGACATTGAGAAAATGTGGCAAGGCAACTTTTTTCTGGAGAGATGACACTACGAGAGAATCATCGGCCATGGTTTTGATAATTCCAATTCTGTGATCTCGATTGAAAATATTGGTAAATCGAATCATGTAGACATGATCAGGTTTCAATCCATCCAAAGTGAAAACAAATGGAACGTTACTTTTTGGAACGTGAACCATTTTGAGAACAATATTCTTCTCATTGACAAAGTCAGAACTTGAGAGAGAACCACCAGTGGTTGATTTCAATAGACGACCCATTAAGCTCTTACACATTAATTCCTTGTAGGATTTTCCGAGAGTATTTTCAGAGTGTGAAATACATTCCATCGTGTCAAGATATTCCTTTTTGACACCAATGTGACTTCTCGATTCAATTTCAATACATTCCACTTGTAAGGTAGTGGCTTTTGAACATTCAATCAATACACGAGCCGATGTCGATTTCACAACTCCCAACACGGGACCTACGGTGAGAAAAGTTGGACCAAACAATTCAGTAATTGGTGTCGAAATTGGATACGGAGGAGGAGAGGTGTAATCCTGTCGATTCTGAGAGTTGGAGGATACGGATTGAATCGCTTCGATGGCCAATTCGATGGTTCCAGATTTTGCTCCGACCAATTCGAAGGTTTGTTGCAATCGTTCACCAAGCTTGAGATTCATACCAAAGAATTGCAATAATACAAATCCAATCTCTGGTGCGTTCATGTTGTTCGATATTGTTTGTTGCAAAATTATGATCCAATCGAAAACAAATGTCAGACATGATGTGAAAATTTGTGTCGCAACGTCAATAATTTACAAATGAAACAACATGTCGAAAATTGGTGTGGTTCGTATTGTCATCATCATCAAGTTGATAAAAACATGAAAATGTCAAAACTGTCATCATACTCACCTTCATCTCTCGTAATTCGATCGTAATCCATCACTTTAATCATCAACAAGGAATCCATCGGATCCAAATTCACAGAAGATGAATCACTCGCCAAATCAAAATTAGGAAAATCGAATACAAAACTCTCATTTTCAAAAACTGGATTTAAATTCTTCTTGACGACTTTTGTTTTCTTGACGAGTGAAGAATCGGAAGGTTCCTGCCAAGTGTCAGTATTTGGATACAAATGCGAATCATTGTAGTGGATGGCCCATAATTTGACATAGGAATCACAACTTTTGGAGAAGGTGTCCATCACGGGGAGGTTGGAACATTGTAGGACGGTAACTTTGAGTTGAAGCATGATGATGTTGTTGTTTTTTTGTGAGTGCTGTCAAATGTCTTTTTGCACAAATTTGTCAAATAATGTTACCTTTTCATTTTGATTCATAAATGGAAGGTAAAAGATAGCTTGAAATAATGTCATTCATCAAATCATCATTCAGTTCTCTCTTTCATGAACTCGTGTTGTTCATCGCACAACACCCCAACAACCGTTACAACTTTTAAATTTTAAAAAATAACCGTTACGTTTCAAAATTTACAATTCATTAAAAAAAATTCTCTCTCCAAAGTCATCCTCTTTATTCTTAAAGCTTTACTAGTACAAGATGAGCACTCCGTCCGTCGTTTCAAGTCCATCCAAATCCAACAATGGATCCAAAACTGCAACTTCCTCCAATTCTCAATCCACCACGAAACGACTTCAAACCGAATTGATGAATCTCATGATGTCCAAAACTGCTGGTGTTTCTGCCTTTCCCGATGAAGGAAACATGTTCAAATGGACGGGTACTTTGAAAGGTTGTGAAGGAACTCCCTATGAAGGACAAACGTATAAACTCTCTCTCAGTTTTTCCAATGATTATCCTTTCAAGGTTCCAGTCGTGAGATTTGTCACTCCAATTTATCATCCCAATGTCGATCAATATGGAAATATTTGTTTGGATATTTTGAAGGATAAGTGGTCTGCTACGTATAATGCTAGAACGGTTTTGCTCTCCATTCAAAGTTTGATGGGTGATCCAAATATTGATGATCCATTGAATGGTGAAGCAGCTGCTGTGTATAGTGATCCAGTGGAGTTCAAACGATTGGTGGATTTGACCTATCAGAAGAGACAACAACAATAATTGTCAAGTGTGCAAAGAATGATTCGCACAACCACATGGTCATGGCACATACATTGAAAATATAGCACTCCCTAAGATACCACACTGAACAGATGAGCATAATAGCAACATTCCAAGTAAGGTATTGAAACGACTTGTATTTGTACATTTTACGACTAAGATTTTTATTAAAATTATATTAATCTCACAACTATGGCATATATTGCGTTGCTTATTCGTCACTAATGACTGAATTTAACAACTCTTGCTTCATTCGATTAATTTCTTCGATGGAAAATCCTTCATCTGTAATTTGAACCTCATCATTGGCTTGGTAGTGGCCACTTTCACGCATTCGTCGTTCTTCATGTAAGTCCCTATCGACTTGATTGGAATGCACATGCTTACTAATTTCTTCGATTTTTTCCACCATTTCATCCTCTTTCGAGATATCTTGTTGCATCTTCCTTCTTGATTTTGTTTTGACTTTGGATGTTCGTTTCCTGTACGCGTCGAAAATGTCACTCAAAAGTCCCCATATAACCTCAGGGTTACCAGCGTTAATTTCCTTGACAGACCACAAGTATCGAAGTTCCATTGCCTTATTCTCCCTGAGCACTGAAAGCACCCTTTCCACATTGTTGAAAAAAGCGGCATTCGTTTGAGGTTGTTTGTTCATGCCTTTCATTCGCTCTTCGCTTTCAATTCGACCAACAATTTCTGCTAGCTTCAAACCATTTTTCAACTCATTTTCGCATTGCAAGGTGGACGACATGCTAATTCCCAGGTCACGTTCAATCCATTTCACAACGTTGTTATGATGGGAAATATTTTCTTGGCTTAGTATCATGAGTGTAGAGGAAGAAGACGCAGGGTCAGAATGGAAGGAGGAACGTGCTTTTTCTTGTTGTAATGTTTTTGAAGGTTTTTGAGGTGAAGTATTTGTTGTTTTGGAAGAAGGAACCACAGACCTTTGATGCTTGGATTCATTGTTATCAGCAGGAGTTGTATTCTCAGAGGGGAAGTGATTTCTTGCTTGTTGTACAGATTCTGGAAGAAATACCCTTCGACTTTTGGTAGGTTTTTGAAAGTCATTCTCGTGTGTGAATTCGTCAGACTGTTGTTTTACATGATCTCGTGGTTTGTCTGTTTTAGTTGTCGTACCTGCCAACTTGCTTTTTCTACTCTTTCTGTAATTTGTTCCCTCAATGTCAAGATATCGCTCAAGATCTCGCTCACCAAGAAACCTCGTCCTCACATGTTCTTCCTCACCCAAAAGCATATCTTTTTTATGAATGGAAACTGAGCGAATACACGGAGCGAGAGAGGGGTTTCTTGAAATCTCTTCACCTTCCAAGACCTCTTCTTCTTTAAGATCATGCACTGTTGGCACGGACGTGTCATCAGTTGGGCCAGATGCACATACGGACTTTTTGTCTTGATAATGCTCTCCCATGTATTGCTGGGACTTGGACACTTTCTCGAGTTCCACTTGTTTCTCATATTGTTCCTTCAGAAAATCTTGTACCACAATGACCGTTCGTATGGGAGCTGTGCATTGAGGTCTTCGTTTCTCTCGTCCCAAGAGACGTGTAAACATTTCCGAAAACGTGGAATTAAGCGTGGTATTTACAAGTTGATGATGGGAAGAGTTTTGCAAGCTGGTTGAGGTGTTCGGATCCGAGGAAAGATGATCCGAACAATCATCCTCTTCACTTTGTTCTCGGACCTCTTCTTGATGATTTTTCCGAGATAGGCCTTCCATATGACTAATTGTTTTGTTGTTGTTTTGCATGAGTGGTTGATGTCCAAGAAATCCTTCTCCATTGTAAGAAATGTTCCTTGATGTTGAGATGGCACTCTGAATTGGGAATGAAGAAAAATCTTGAAGATTACCCTTTACGTTGTTAGAGATACCATGATGATTGAATCTATTGTCTACGGGCACCGTATTTTCCGTATGATGTAATGGAACAAAATTCGAGGCAAACGATGATTTTAAGGCATGTATCAAGCCCGATGAGAATGAATGACTAGGATCTCCTCCATTCCATCCCACCTTTTCCTCCCTCTCTTCAAGTTCTCGATCAGCACTCGATCGAGGAGGTTCAAAATCATATGATTCCTTCCTTCCCGAAAACGTGTAGGGCCTTAATGCCATTTCACGAGAGTTTCTTAGGTTATGGGAGAAGGGCTTTGAGAGATGCATTTTTAATTGAGATGCTTTTGAATGTGATCGCGGCTTATCATTGTTTTTCTTTTGCTCAATTTACAACAAGATCGTTGGTTCAAGTGACGAATGCTCAAACGCACTGTTTATCAAACTGATCAAATCCAAACAGTGCAGGAAATGCACACAAACTTCCGTTGGTGTTCGGTCTTCGATGATCTTTATTTCTACTCCAACACTGAATATTCTTTTGCAATTAGAAGAAAAAAAGCAGAGATTCGTTGGCAGCGAGTTGTTGAATCATCACTGATACATCTTTTTCTCCCTTTGACCCTCCCTACAACAGCAGTGTTCTAGTTGTAGTATCACTCTGGCAACCTTGTATTCCCATTGCTGAGCCACGACGTAATTGAATTTTGAACTTTTTCATCATTGACTGATTCTCTCACGATATTATCGCCTTGCCAAAATTGACCTGATTCAAAAGCCTTGGCCAATATTATTCAATCCTATACCGAATTTAATTACTACCACATCCAGTACTTGCCAATACAATCTTGCAGTATACTGCTATCTTTCACTACAAACCTATTCGGGCGAATCATCATCATCTCGTTTATTTTATTATCATCATCATCAAGTATTGGAATATTTCATTGTCAGAATGGAATCATCAGCGGACAATCAATTCATGATCACTTCAACAACGACTGCAAATCAAGGCTTGCAAGACTTGTTGAATTTATCTTCCTCCTACGAGGCTTCATCATCATGGCCCTCGCCATCAGCTGATGCCTCCTCTTCCTTTCTAACTCCTAACGAAACAAAACACGCCATCTTTTACCACATCATTGATCATGTCTTTGGGATTCAAGGCTCTAACAACAATCATAGCTACTCGTATTCTCGTTGGAATCAAAATATCACTCGCGGACCTCCACACAGTTTTCCCTTAATTTTGGGCAGTGAAGAGGCAACTCCTCTCTCATGGAGAAGAATTGGATGGACGCTTGAAGACTCGTGCATTGTTCTGTTTGCAGCTCTCGTTTTATTTTTGTTAAGGTTTGCACTCAACAAGAGTAGCCTGAAGAACTTTTTGTGCCAATATTTGAGTGCTAGCTCTCTGGCTCGCTTGAAAACCTCTGCAAATCCTGAAACATTTATGAAAAAGTTACAACAACGTGTGATGGAAAATGTTTGGTTTTCATTGTACTATAGTGCTTCTGCCATCTTTGGAATTATCATTCTGTATGATGCTCCTTGGTTTTGGGATTTGTCACATCTTGTGATGGGCTACCCAGAAGAGCAAACAGGTTATGAAATTTCCAGCTTTGCAAGACTGTACTTGTTATTGGGAGCCGCTTTCTATTTTCAAGCTCTCTTTTCTTTACTTTTCATTGATGAGAGAATGAAAGATTTTGTGGAAATGCTGATTCACCATATTGTCACCATTGTATTGATTGTTTGGTGCGTCATTTCATATTATCATCGAATTGGAACTCTTGTCTTGCTGTTGCATGACGTTGTGGATGTATTTTTATATATTGCCAAAACTTTGAACCATCTCAAATTTGAGAGAACTTGTGAAACAGTGTTCGTGGGTTTTGTATTGAGCTTTTTTGTACTCAGATTGATCTATCTGCCCTATCTCATCATTCATTCCTTGTTTTACACTTTCAATAGTTGGGACTATCCTCAAAGATACTATGTGTTCCGATATGTCACTAATGTGCATGATTATTTTGAAATTTCTAGTTACGGAGCTTGTTGTCTCAAATATTGTGTGAGCAGTTTTTGGTCCTTAATTGCACTGTTGGTAGTACTCGTGTTGCTTCACATCTTTTGGTTCTCCCTTGTGACCAAGATGATTGTGAATATTGTAAGTGGAAAAGGAAAGCAAGACATTAGAGAAAATGATGATTAAGTATTTGGGTGTCTTTTAATTCTGTAATTTAATGAATTTGTACATACACTGATTTTGTGGAACACGCAGCAGTATTGTTTTATCTCCTGTCTCTGTGCAAGAGGAACTCGGAACACTCGTGGTTCAGTCCAAAACATCAAAAAAATGTCTCAACAGCTCGACACACTCTACTTCCCACTCCAACATCTCTTACCGGAGCTTCAACAACAGGTCTTGAACTTTCTCGATCCAAAAAGTCTTCTCTCCATCCTCGTATGCGATCAACACTTTTACTTTCAAGTTGCACGAAATGAAGCCTTCAAAGCATTCCGATTGATGGCCATGATCCAATTAGGTCCTGTCATGTTTCGTGGCAACGCTATCAAACTCCGATCAGACATGCCTACTGATATCTCTCTCGTTCGTTCAGCCATTCAATTCTTTCTCAACAAGAGTAAATGGATCAATGGAGTGGACTTTAATACTTGGAGAGCGCGAGCTTTTGCATTTGACGATGAGACAAGTCGCTCGAATATGTGTGAGCATGAAACTTTGAAAAAACAAGTCGATGATTGTTTATGCGAATTAATTCGACATGTGAAATTATTTGATTTGAAAGAAATGGAATTGACGGATGAAGAGCTGAAAACAATTCCTTATGCATTTTTGAGAAATGAATACATGCATTGGAGAATAGCCATTCATACATTTAGGAATGCCATGACCACTACTCTCAAAGGATATGAAAAGGAAGCATTCAATCGTGTCAAGCATGAAATTTATGAACATTTGGATCAGTGTGCGAGTTTTCCACATGGTCTCAAGGAAATGGATACCATTGTTCCTGTGTTAAGATATGCAACCGACAATTCGAGCGATCTCTACACAAAATTGCGTCAATTCATGTGGAGAGACCGAAAGGAACATTTGGAACTTCATGAATTACTGAACACTGTAGTTGAGCATGACAAGATGATTTACTTTTTATTGAGATTGGGTTTATTGCCATATTCGAATATTCCATTGATATATCAAACCAATAGAGAAGTCATTCTGTTTGCCATTCAATACCATGTGGAAGATAATGCTGCATTTAAAATGAAAGGATTCTATCGTCCGAACAAGAAAACTGTTTTTAGTGGAGTTGTTAAACTTGTTCCAGAGTTGGCGAATGATAAGGAGATTATTAAGACAGCTTTACTCTCGAAGAAGGATGAGCTCATTCATTCCGTGTATCAAACTTGTATGTACGGAAAGATTGAGAATGATCCACTGGGAGAAGAAGATTATCGCTTTTTAGGAAGCATTGTCAAACAATATCCAAAATTATTGGACATTTTAGTGAATTACAATAGAGAATCAGCTCAAAAGTATTCATGGACAGAAACAGATGTGATGAAAATTCTCAACTATTGCCCCAATGCTTACTCGGAATTGAGTACTGAAAAAATAGAAATTACCGACAAGAATTGGAGATCTTTTAAACATCATCCCAAACTTGCATTCCATGCAGTCACGCTTATGGGTGAAAATTTAACAAGCGTAGCTTTCGACAAGACCTTCAAAGATTCTACCGAGCTTGAACATGTGAGAGAGCTCTGTGTGACAGCGGTCAAACATTTGCAACATCCAGTGACTGTCTCACAAGTCTTCTTTTCCAAAATTCCAGAAGCACTTACAAAAGATGTAGCGTTTCTAAAAGAAATCATTCCAATATGTCCCAAATTAGGATATTTCATTGATGACACCTTTTTAGAGAAGGACTGGGATTTAATCATGTTTTTGGCTCCTATTGTTTCTGTTGTCGATATTCTCTTCAAACTTGGTTACAGCTGCTCCACAAGAAGCCAAGCATGGGCTCTTCAAACTTTCAGCGACAAACGAGTTCACAAAAAGCCAGATTTTCTTCTCGATAATCGAGAATTTGCATTGGCCACTCTGAAATCCTTTCCTTTACAATACAATCGATTCCCATCTTATATTCAAGAAGATCCAGAAGTTTTTAACATTATCATGGAGAGCGGATGTGACATTTCAACTTTACCAGTTTTTTACAAAAAAGTCAAAGGAAACAAACAATTGGCAGAAAAGGCCATTCGATTTGGAGCAAATATTTTCCTCTTTGATGAGTGTATTCATAATGATCGAGAATTATTCAAAATTGCCATTGCTATCGATCCAAGATTTTTGAACATGAGTTCTATATTTACTGGTGACAAGGAAATGGTCATGTATACCATTGAAACATGCAACAAGTGGAGAAACATCCCTCCCAATTTCATGACATTTAGTAGTTTGGATGAAAAATTATTGCAAGATCGAGAAGTGGTGAAAAAGGCAATTTTAGAAACTGCCACCTTTGTCGATGTTCAAAATTTACCAAAAGAATTTCAAAACGACAAGTTGCTAATGAAAGCCACTCTCCTCAAGAATGGGCAAGCGTATCCACAACTTCCTGATGAATTGAAAAATGATTTGGAAATTGCAGAAGCAGCGGTTCGAAGCAGTTGTAAAAATTACAATCATTTACCTCAAGTGCTGCGAGATCGGAGGGAATTCTTTTTATTGGCCGTTTCACGAGGATTGACCCAAGTGTCACTACCCTTCCAAATGAAACCTCAACAAGACGATGATGTCAAATGGGAAATTTATTCTGAAGAGCCGTCAGAAATTTTCGTGCGCTTGGTGTAACATTTGAGAAGTTGTTTAATAAACACTTTTTTTTCAAAAAATCAGAGGCCTTAATTTTGTGTTGAGACTGAGGTTTACAACACTTCCAACTTATCACCATCGATTGATGAGAGTGTATGGCATAAAAGTTTGCCGTCTCACGTGCACGATTGTCACATCAAAAATACCATTTCTGCAATTTATTGCATTGCATTGTTGTTGAATGGTTTACAAATTTTGATTAGCTCTGGCAAATCCAACACGGTTTCCATCATAGTCAAACACAGTATAATAAGTTGAAATGAAAACATCACCCAAAATCCAAAAGTCACCAAATTGTGGTGGGAGAGCCAATGGCATGAATCCGGCAATACATTCAGTAGCACCCATTTGAGAAATCTTCAAAACATAATCTCTTGGCTTGAGTGTGTATTCAATACCATTAATCTTGAAAGTGACATCAGGATTAGAATCAATGTTAGAACAATCCTTAGCAACATTCAATGATTCCATAATAGGACCAATCTTCAAAGCTGGACCAGCAATGAGTGAGGTACCAGTATCAACAGCAGCAAGGCATCCACCTGGAGGACAGACTCCCTTATATTGACCACCAACACCAACATCACCAATCTTGATAGCCCAATAAGTTCTATTGGCCAATGGAACATAGTTCATTGGACCAGTGTAGTACTTTTGATTGATACCACCCAAAACCATGGCACTTGAAGTGCTTCCAGCAGTCTTACTCAAGTAGAAACTGAACAAGTTTTGATCGACCAATTTTTGTGCCATCATGTTGTTGAAGAGTGGAGTGACCTATGAGTGGTTGTGTTCAATCACACACAATAAATTAAGTGTTCAAAGCCATGCCAAGGGTGTGAAAAGGAGTCGAGTTTCAATGAATGAATGGTTGTTAAATGTACACCAGTGTGTTAAAAAAATGTGTTAATACAACAAATCAATGATGAATTGAAATAACATACTCCGTCAACAGCAATGGATGGGAAAGCCAAACCAACAATACCGTCGCTCTTACCGAACAAGAATGAAAGTCCAGATTCGGAGGTGACTTCTCCGAAAACTTGTCCCTTAACGTCAATACCACCAACAGAGTTAGTATCTTGAGAAAGGAAACCAGTGACAGCTCCAGATCCATAAGTAATGTTGAATGCTCTTCCGTTAGCAATATAGGTGCTTGACTTGGTGTGATCGTATCGGTTGTGGAGAAGGCCTGAATTCAAGTCCAATCAGCGCCAACATCGTCCATGATGAAATATTTTTCACACATGACAATCAGTTAGAGAAAAAACATTGTGTCAGAACAAACCTCGCAACAAATGAGCTTACGTACAAGTAATTGACCAACACTTTTCAGAAGGAACCCACACGTTGGAGCTACCAGTATCGAAAATAACCTTGAAAGTTTGCTTTGGAGTTCCAATGCTAACAAATCCATAATACTATTATTCATTATTGGCGAATCGAATGATGATGATGGCACGGACCAAAAGATATTTTGATGAATCAATGATTACCAGGGGTGAGATTCCAAATAAAAATCATCAAAAACAACACGATCACCTCATCATCCACCACAACCAAACACTTACTTGAGTATCAGCATAATCATTCAATGGAACAATAGGAGAAGCACCAGCTCTCAAATAGGCTCTATTCATTTGTTGAAGTCCTCCGGTCTTTTGAGCAATTCGGACAGTATTCACCCAAGCAGCAACACGGGCATCAGAGGTATCCAATTCTTTCTTATTCAATGAAATCTCAATAGGCTTGGCGAGGGTAGTGGATGTAACGGCCACCACACACAACACCACGCAAAGAAGGAAAAGACGATTCATTTTTTTTTATTCAGATTTTTTGAGGAGTTTACAATGAAAATTTAACGGAGATGAAACTCCGGATGAGGGTTCAAACTATCTGTATGAGAGAATGAGATGAATTTGTTGGGACCTAAATGAATGTATCCAATTAATGAAATTCGAATTTTGTTAATCGAACTGCTCCTAATTTTTAATAGTCGATCACGTTGGGAGTTTTATGGTCAACCCAGAAAAAAAATGTCTCAAAACTATTCCTGGGTAAGTTTTCTTGTTAGATCATTGACATTACAATGGCGATGAAAAAGAATGATCGGGAGTATGTGCTTCAGCGTGTACAACAAGATGGATTGTCACTCCAATTAGCTTCTCAAGAATTACGAAATGATCCAGAGATTGTATTGGAAGCAATGAACCAAAATGAGGTTGCATTTGAATATGCTTCCGAAGAATTGAAAATCAATGCGGAATGGTTATTGAAAATATGTAATGAGAACAATAGACTCAAAAAGTACATTCAAGAAGAAGTATTTGGAACTATTGAAAAGGCTAAGCAAGGAATTGCAAGAAATGTCAAAATATTTCTCTTACTCACACCTTCTCTTCAAAAAGAGCCAGAAATAATCAATTCCATCTTTCAAGAAGGTCCGAAACAATTTTCATTCGCCTCCAATTTTGATGAAATTATTGAATACTATTCCAATAACTTTATATCAGATCAGAATACATTTGATTTCTATTTATATTCGAACATCCAACCCACCCCTTCCAGAACAGTTTTCTCTATATTTACATCAACAAATTATCCAAAAGAAATGGTGATAGAATTTGCATTGATGAAATTATTCCACAAATTTATAACTTCTCATCACATCAATCTGAATTCATTTATTGTTGCTCATGAGAAAATTCAACACACCACTGATTATTATTTATTCAGTGACACTATTCATAACTTTCTGGACCATTTATGGAATACTCTCAAATCAACTCATTACAAACAACTGCAAAAGGTTGTGAATAACATTGTACAAGATTTTCCAATTGAGAAATTGTTAGAATCATGCTTTGGTTTTATTGTGAAATTTTTGAACGATTGGAAACAAATGAAAGACTTTCCTCGACTTACATCCATTCAACAATTGACAACACAAAATCTTTCCAAGCATGGCATGGAGTTGGATAGAATTCGACGATGTTGTCAAATTGCGAAATCTCAACCTCAATTCAAAACTATTCATTTCATTTCATTGTTGGGAATGGGTGCACAAGGTGCTGTATTGAGATGTTTGCACAAGAATCATGGAATGATTGCTTGTAAATTCTCTTTTGAACCAACAAACGACCCCAATAGATTGAACGAACAATTTAAAGTGTTAAAAGATCCTCGTGTGAAAGGACATGTGATTGATTGTATTGAATGTAATACTATAGAATGGAATGACTTACATTACCCATACATTATCATGGAAATGGGAAGAGGAACATTGAAAGAAGAGATCTACTCTATTCATTCAAATCCGATTTTGAAATATTATAAGAAAGAATCAAAATCCAAGTTTATTGAGAAACAAGAGTTGATTTGGATTTTGAATTGTTTTATTGATATTCTTAAAGCGGTGACTGTTTTGCATGGAATGAACATACTATACAGAGATTTGAAGCCAGAGAATGTTATTCTCACACAATATGGAAAGCCGAAGTTATTATTCACAAGCACAATTCAAAATGTTCAATTTTGGGAAGAAGTAGATTTGAATGTTGGAACTTATTTATATATGGCACCGGAAACCTTAAGTAATGACTTAAGTTATATCGAAAATAACATCACAGTATCGAAATTTTGTGATGTGTTCTCTTTGGGATGCTTGTTCATGAGAATGTTGACCAATTGTTCATTGATACTTGATGGAACATATTTAAACTCAAAAGAACAAGATTCTTATGGAAGTCAATACGAAACAACCAACACTGATGATGTGAATTATTTCTCAGAATATGGAGAATATTTTTATGTGGCTGTTGCAACTCCACATGGAGAATCCAAATTACATCAAGCACTTTATAAGGAATTGGACAAACATATTGATCCATCATGGAAAGTGAATGACATTCTTGGAAGATGTTTGATGACCATGATTCAGAAAGATGTTGAAACTCGAAGAGGTTGTGTGAGATATATTCCAATTTTGCAAGCTGTGAAACAATCACTTGAAAAAGATGGAGATCATAATCCAGATTTTTCCTCTCTTGATTTGAGTTTATTGAAAGAATATCAACCATCATTTATTGAAAAGATGATGAAAGAGAATAGAATATTGAAACAACTAAATATGGAGACTGGGCAAATTTTAAACAGGTCCAATAATGGTAATTTTCTACTCGAAGATTGTCAATATGTTGAAACGATTTACCAAAGTACATACGGTGAGAGTATGGTATGGAAAGTTTTTCATAAGAAATATGGAGAAATAGCTTGCAAATTAATGCTAAACCAAGGTGTTACCAAAAACAGTGTAGAAGAGCAGTTTAAATTACAACAAGTAGAAGAACTCAAAGATTATATTGTTCAATGTATGGAATGGGGAACTATTTGGTTAGAGAAAGATCAGCGCAAATATGAGTATGTTTATTTAGTGATGGAAATGGGACAGGGAACATTGGAACATGAAATTATTACGCTTCATACTAAGCATTGGCTCTCTCAATCAGATATCAACAAATGTTACATAGATAGAAAATACTTTATTCAAGTATTAAGCCATTTTATTAGAATTCTAAATGGTATGAATGTCTTGCATTGCAAAAACTTAGTTCACAGAGATATCAAAACTTCAAACGTAATCATTTCAAAAGATGGCAAAGCTAAATTGATTGATTTTGAGACCATGAAAAGCATTCAATTACTTCAAACCATAACCAGTAATGTTGGAACATATCCTTATATGGCACCAGAGGTCTTGAGCTCCCCTGAAAAGGAATGGTTAACAGAAAATACCGATGTATCTAGATATTGTGATGTATATTCATTAGGATGCGTTTTAATGAGATTATTGACAAATTGTAGTTTGCGAATTCATCCTGAATATGCAGGATCTAAATTAGGAGACAATATTTCCAACATACCTGTTTTCTCAAACCAATACGAGGGATTTTGTTTTAATACATTATTGACAACACCTGAAGGAGAGCAAAAGCTTCACCGAGCGTTATATAGTGAGATTGACAAACACATTGATCCCTCTTGGAAACTGAATGATGTATTAGGAAGATGTGTCATTACAATGATTCAACAAGATACTACAGGACGTCGAGAGTGTGCAGAATATGTCAAAATTTTGGAAAAGGTGATGTATTACTTGGAACATGAGACTGAACCTGTTGAGTTTTCTCAAGAGGAGCTCAAAATATTGCGACATCATGAACCATCATACATTGAATCTCTTGTCTGCGAAAATTCCACTCTCAAGAATGAAAACGAGAGATTAAGAGCTCTCTTGAAACAACATGGTATTAATCCTGACGAATAATACAACTTTTTCATTATATTACAATTTATTATTTACTGAAATAGTGTGGAAAAGCATTGTAATTAATCAATAAATGCACACGAACCAGGGTAGCAACACTCGCAGGCGCGATTGCTTCAGTCCTCTGTGTGTCATTTGCAGCAAACACCATTGATTGTTCCAGTTGAAAGCCACACTTTCAGAAGTTGTTCCATATGAAAAACGATAGAACATTACTGAGCTTGGAGGGTCCTCATGAAGTGAAATGAATGACCAGAGAAATATTTTCGTCCACCAAAACAGTTTCAACAACCGCTCTACTGAGCTAAATCGATTTCATCTTCCATCAAGGAGATTCAAACCCATTAGTTACTTTCCTTAAATTCAATCCAAATTCAACTCTATTATTGTTCACATAGTCAAAGCCAAAGCTCTTTCATTCATTAATTTCTTGTCACTTGTAAATTAATACAAATTTCATCCTCATCAGGTATAAAAACTCTCTCAGGTGGTATACTTTTTGTTTCCCTACTCTTATGAGCCAATTCTGTACAATCGACAATCTCAATAAAATCCTCACCATTCCTAAATGATTCTCGTTTTTTAATTCCAATTTGTAAATCTCTTCTCCTTTTAATAGGTTCCAACGCAGGTGAATAATCTGGATCCCATTGAGCACGAACCAATCCTGCACCTGATCCCTTCAATCTAGCCTTTCTAAGAATATCCAAATAAGCACTTCTCTTCAACCATAATCCAAGAATTCTTGTTTGATTTTGTTTAGTTGCATAATTGGAACGATACATCATCCATAACCAATTGGATTTGATCCAAGTCATTCGTGTATCATTGTAGGACGGACATCCTTCGAATTTTTGATGTTCAAGTGCATAATCTGCAATTTCATCATTGAAGGCTTGATAAACAAGAACAGCATCATCGGAATAGGTTGCAATGATATGATTTCCGATGGAGGGCCATGTATCTCTGACTTGATCATACGGAACGAGAGTGATGGTTCTATTAGTATTGTTATGAATATTTTGAATAGTATGTTGATGATGATGATTATGAACTTGTGAAGATGTTGAGCTCATTTTTTTATATTTAGCATTTAAATTAAAATCCAATATTTACATTTCAATACTGAGTAAAATAACTTCTTATTAATCATGATTAATAATTATTCAAACATTGACATCGGGTACAAATTTTCCAATTCCAGTACTTCTCTTAAACATGAACACTCCCCAAAAAACACTCCAAGCCCATCCAAATAAAACCACACTCAACAACATTTGCAACAATCCGAAAATGATACAAAATTTCACTTTTTTCTTTTTGGAAGTGACACATCCTGCCACTAATGTTCCGACACCTGGCAGAAAGATGTTGAGAAGTAACACAGTGAGAGGCCATTTTCCTTTTAATTTAGGAACGTATTTGTTGAAGGTTTTGAAAATTTGGAGTTCATGTTTCTGTGTGAAATTTGTGTCAATGGTTTGTGAAAATTTAAAATTTTGAATTGTTGTGTGATGATGAGTGTGTGACCAATAATATGAATGAATGAATTGATCCGAGTTTTAATTCAGGTAAAGAGATCGTGTCCATGATTGAGACGAGGTGTGTGTTGTGAAATTCGGCCAAATCATGATGATGTTTTGAAGACTTACAAATTGAAGCATTTTTCAAAACCTGTCAATTCCTCTAATTTTTCATCAAAATCAACGTCGCTAGTATTGTGATTACATAACACAATGATCGTAATATTGAGTGAATCCAAAGGTTATTAATGTAAGTGTTTGTCATTCAAAGCTTTTCATTAACCATATAATACATCATTGTTTATAATATTCTACAATTTAATATTTACAGAAATAATAGCTCATTTGTGGAATGAGCACACAAACTAGTTGAAAGACGAGCACAATTCCATGAATCTACTCATCGAAGATATTTACACAAGGCCTCCACATATTCTGATGCATGAACATCCATTTGTAAAATTTCTTTGGCAGCTCCACTCTTCTTAATTTGGAAAATTATTTCATTGAAATGGTTCAAATGTTGAGAGTCCAACGACGACGACGACGAGTTTTGAGCCATTTCATCAGTTCCTGTCTCACTTTCATAATATTCCAAAATTTTCACAAGTGTTTGAAGACACATGTTTTTGATTTGTTGCTCCGATTGACCATTGGTAATCATTTCACAAATCGGTGGAACAATTTGATACCGTTCTGTGAAGAGTTCTACATGTTCATCTTCTCCACTATTGATTGCATTTCGAAAAATCCACACGGCTTCTTTTTTCAAATCCAACAATGTGTCCTTCTTGTTGAAAAGTTTTGCAATTTCTTCTAACACTCCACAATCAATGGCACGCTGCACTTGAACTTCGGTACATGCACATACATTGGAAACGAGAATCATGGCATCAATTCGAACAGACTTGGGAACCAATGGCAATCTTAAAATTTTAAGGGCAATTTCTAAAATGTCCAACGTCACTAAATGTTGAGTTTCTTCATCGGTACCTGCAGAGATGTTCACAGCTGCAACCAATGCTTGTGCTAACAAACTATATTCGGATTCGTTTCGATTTTGTATCAAGTCAATAATTCGACTCGATTGACCACTCTGAAGAAAGGGTGAAATCATTTCTTTGGGATACATGAGTCGTCCGATGGCTCTGCAAGTGTGAGTGAGAGTTTCAATGTCTTTTCGATGTAAGAAATAGGGAGTGAGAGTTAAGAGTTGTTTCATGTGGTCTTTGCTTGGAGAGGGAGTTCCTACACAAAGTTTAGAAAAACACCAAGAAGCTGATGTCAAATGTCGAAAATATAAGTGTTGACTGGTTTAAACAAAATTCTTGAAAATTACTTACCCATTCGAAGTAAGGAAACATGTTGCTCATTCTCTTCACATAAGACTTGTGTCGACAATAACGAAGTCAACTCTTTCACAATCTGACTTTGTAAAACTTGATCTCGTTGCGAGCTTGATATTTTGGCAATATTTGCTAAAATGAATAAAGCATCATTTACAATGGGTAAGTGTCGAGACTGGATCAGTTGAACAATAAGGGAAATATCCAATTGGTTGGAAAGAGTTTGTAACTGATCGATTCGTCCATTGCCACTCAACTACCAATTAACATCAACGTTTGGATCCAATTTTGTAAAAAATGTAAATGTGAAAATTGTCATACCTTTTTAACAATTAAAACAGCAACCTGTTGAACTTGTTGAATCATTCGTTCAGTTGTTAGTGTTTTTGTTGTGGTCATCTCCATGTTAGGAGAAGTCTCATTGTCCATTGTAATATTATCTTTTGGATGATTCAAAACATTCAAATACTTGCCAAGTGCATTTCGATCGAGATAATAGGATTTTACATGAGATAAAGTGTCTGAATCAAGAATGGAATCAATAACGTCCTCAATATCCATCGAGTCAATATTTAACAAATCGTACACTCTTATGAAGAATTCTGATATGCCAATTGTCATTAAATTTTTCACTTACCGTTGCAAACTTTTTACACTCTTCTGATAGACTCCTTCCACGATTTGAGAGAGTTCTCTTCCACGTTGTTCTTCATCCTCTGGCAATTGTTGTTCAATTTGTTCGATCAAGATGTCATCACTCATTTCTTCAAACCGCTTCTCATTACTGGTTGACAAATTTAAAAATCTTAATAACACTTCCTCACAAATAATCCATTCCAAACTGAGCTCTCGCATCAATGATTTTCTCTTATCTATTTTTTGTTTTTTAAATTCGCTTAATGGTATTTCTATTCTTGAATTAACATGTTTGGAAGTTTCCCTTTTTGGCTGTGACGAGTTATTCAATCCTATGGCTTCAACTCTTCCAGTTAATTCTCTTCTTCGTTGCAACATCTTGTCTCGTTGCAACATTTTTCGTTGTTTTTGAATTTGTTTTTTCACTTTTTGATTCTCCAGTGCTTGTTTCCATGCTTGTGGAATTTTCTTTGATTTTCCTTCTTTCGAAATACTTGAACGATTCGAAGGAACCTTTTTTAAAGATGCACAAGGAAATGAAGGAAAAGGAGGAAGGAAATAAAAAGGTCTTTCGTGTAATGGTTGACAAGTGTCAGGAATTCCAAACGAGGGTAATTGTTGAGTGACACAATATTCAGAACCCACGGCGCTCACGACAATCGTTGAGCATGTTGAAGATGAAATCTCATCCGCTTGCTCTTCTTCATGACTCATCTTGCTATCCAGGTTAACTCTCTCACTTGACATTTGACACTGTTGCATTGACTTGTCGGATTCGCCACACACTCTTCCTTATTCATCATTACAAGAGATGAAAACCACATCGAAGAGGAATTCGACACATTCATCATTGAATCGAAAGGTAATATCATTGGAAGCGAGTTCGTCACACTTGGTTCTTCAATCATTCCAACCGAATCTTCCAAAATATTTCGAGAAGAGAGAATTTGACTCATATCGGGAGTCTGTTCTTGTTGCTGCATGAATGAATGAATCGAAGGAATCGGTTGGTCTTGCTCCTCAAGAATGTCTTGAAGTATTCGATCTGCAGAAAATTCATCTTCTTCGACAACTGATTGATGTTCTTGTTCCAACCGATTCGGTTGTATCCAATCCGAAAGTAAATTCAATTCATCTTGTTCTTCTGTTGCTGAATGTCGATCATGGTCATGACTGGCCATTCGTTGTTGTTGATCCTGTGGATGCATTTTGTTTGAAAATCTAAAAATTGTGAAATGCAAATCATTGGTTGGTGGATATATTTGGATAGATGGTTTACAAATAATCGTTGCAAAAGGGTGAAAGCCTATGAAAAGCAACTTTGTTTATGAAGATGGAATCTATGGATCGAGAGTGGTGAATGGGATAACTGTCATCGTTCAGGTTATTGTTGTGAGTTAATCATTCAGTGATGTTATTGATTGGAAGTTGGCAGTTGACATTTAAAGACTTTGAAAGAACGGTCTAAGTTCAGTTTTGTAAACGTGCTTGATAGTGATTCCTCAACTTCTTTAAGGCTTTCATGAATTGATTTTTTTTAGCAAATCCAATTTCCCTTAATGATATTTGAAAGCTCATGAAATCTCATTTGAAATCAAACAACCATTTCATAATACCAATCTTTTTACAGATTCTCAATTTACAGTAGAGAGATACGACAAGATTTTTCGAGATTCAAAGTCTTGCATCCATGGCGTTAATTTCGATCACTTTTCGAATGAAGACGATTTCGATTTTGGAAAGAATTTCATTGAAAACTTGCACGCGTGCAACATGGAATGCAAATTTCCAATTTTCCTAATCTTTCGTTTCCTATTCAAATGTAACACAAGATCTTGTCATGGAATGAAGAATGAATTGGATTACAAGTCCTTGCATTGGGTGGTCCTCATTCTGAATTGAAAGAAACGCCAACAAACTGACAGACTACTATTTTTTTCAAAGATCTTCATGGCTCTGTTCTCGAAGATTGTTAATGTTGTCAAACGATTCTGTTGCATCTGCCAGAACTCGATTATTAATATGAAAGTTATTGACACGTTATTTAACAACTATTCAAGTAATGGGCAGTTCATTTAAATACATTCACCTCCATATTCACCCCTCGAGGATAATTCTTCATTTCCTTTGGCAAACAAATGGTTTTATCGGACTTTTTGAACGAAAAGTCATTTTTTGACATTTGAAATGTTGAAAAACCTTAGTCCACCAGAGACCGCATTCGTGAAAGGAAATAAATGTCGTAGTGCATTCTTCACCGAGTTCTATCATCCCCCAACTTTTGTGAAAGAACGTGTTCTGCATATCCAAAAAAAAAAGACATCCGTCACTTGCCACACTAATTGTCTGCCTCTTCGTTCACTCCCATAAATTTCCATCTCATAATTTTCGTAATAGACTCCAAAGAGTAGGCACCATCATCGATTCCTATCAGTGGAGGTTCCATCTCACTCTTTTAATTGTTGATCGACATCGAACACCATCTCTCATACCCCAAGTGTTATCTCTGGACATGTAAGTTACAACATTTCGATTGACAACTGACAGTATATCCTTTGGTGCATTCACCCTTAAACATCTCTCATGTTGTATTTTTCCATTCGTCTTCCCTCTGGTAAGTTTCTCATAGATTCATTTTCATAATTGGTGGTCATTCACACAATTCTTCGGCGCTGAACGCATTTGATGGCATTTGACTTTTCAAATTTAGAAATTTTGAACAACATGATTGATCATGCAATCAATGGATTTCAAATATTGTTGTCTTGAATATCCTGTGTTTCTCTCTCTCCATTCTTTCTACATCATCCTCCACTACTAGTATTGAATAACAAATTTAAAAAACAATGAAACAACAACAACAATTGCCTTCCATTAGCACATTGATTGAAAGTTTGAAGGATCGACCTTTACATGAGAGTCGATCACGTCATGTGGATGATGAGAATCCCTTCTCTTTGTCCATGCCAACAACAACAAGAACAACGGATGGATTGTGTTCTGTATATCCAAATTTGGATGGACAGTCAAAAGTCACCACCACAAAACGCATGCATCAGAACGTGTTTCATCCACAACGACAACCACATCATCATCAACCTTCCCCAACATATCATCATTACATGCATTCCACTACTCAACCTGTACCCTATGTTCCTTCCCCAACTGTCACTTGCCAATCCATCAATCCCCAAAAGTTATACTACAACGACTTGAAATTTACTTCTTCCATGTCCAACATTACTACATCGACCACAACCACATCTCCTTCTCAATCTCCTCGTTTATTACATCAACGATCAAATCCTCTGATGATTTCAACGTCAAGAAATTACAACAACTCGAATTCTCAAAATTTACATACATACAAATCAAAGATGCACCATCATCATTCTCCTCATATTGAATTATCCCCAAATTCACCAACGAATGGTACTTCAATCCAGACAAGTGTCATGAATCCATTTTTGGAAAAACGTAATCTGACACCATGTTCTTCTTCTCCGAATACACCGACTTGTGCTCTGGACCTAATGAATGGACAACAATGTTACACCAACCATCACGATCATTCGAAATGTCAGTCGTCATTCTCCTCCAATTCAAGCATTCTTTCAAGAACTACAAGTTTCAATAGTAACAATAGTCAAAAAACATCATCAACAACAACAAATTCAATGGATGCCATTTCTCAATCTTTTGCATCAAAATCTCCAACAATCACTTCATTGGAAACATTTCAAGAATCCAACAACATGTCAAAACCTTTGACTGTTCTTGGAAAACGAAAACAACAACTTGAAACCAATGATCTCAATATTTCTGACAACCATGATGGAATGACCTCATCAACAAGGATGAAATCTCCTCCATTGTCTTTATCCAATCCTTCCTCTCCAGTAACTGTTGTACAATATTCCTTTGTAAATACTATGAATGAACAAACTTGTCCAAAAAAGTCAAAACGAACCACTCAACAAGACATTCACTCATCATCATCGTCCATGAAATCATCTCCGTATCAATTTATGAATTTTTCCATTTCGAATGACAATTCCAAAATTAAATTTGTCAATGCTCAACATCAATTGAAAGGAATTAATGATGGAAGTTGGACAGAGAAGGAACATGAAGATTTTGTAAGAGGTCTTAATGAATGCGGAAAGGGAAAATGGAGAGAAATTGCAGAAAAGTTTGTCAAGACTCGAACGAGAACACAAGTGGCGAGTCATGCACAGAAATATTTTGCAAATAAAAAGTATTGAAAAGATCTTTTAGATTCTTCAAATTCAAAGAATGAAATTTAAAAAAGATATTTTCATCCGTAATTCTAAGATTAATGTTTATCCAAAGTATTTAGATTCCTGTAAAGCTTTGACAATGATGGTTGCAATTAAGGCTCCCAATTGAATACCAAATCCAGCTTTGTGACCATTGTGGATATTAGGGATTAAGGAAATTAAAAATGACAAGTGACACTTACCAAGACGGAATGGATTCAAATCCAATACTTGTTTCATATTCAACCATAATGAATTCTGACCAGCGTTCTCATTGGTCACAGAGGAGCCGTTGAGAGGTGTTAATCCATTATCCAAACCTTCTTGAGACGTTTCTGGTTGCTCTCGTTTCTCTTTTTCTGCTTTGGTTAATTTAAGGAAAATTTCATTATCTTCCTTCTCAATGCGTTCGTGACACGTGAGAAATTCCTTTGTTTTGGTGAATGAAATGAGTGCTCGTGTCAATAATGTCACCAAAACCAAAAAGGCTCCGAATCCTTCCGAATGTTTGAGTGGAGGATTTGGATTGTTGAGAGCAATAAAGAACAACAAACAAGCTCCAATGATCCAACCCAGATGAGAAAACATGGCCACGAAAAAATTGTAAAATGGAACCAAATAGGCCACTCCACTTGCAATTGGAGCAATAATCATTCCAAACGTAATGGCATATCGAAGCAATGTTCCATGATGTCTATAATTTTGAAAGACGTAGGGTAAGATCGATACAATTAAACCATTTTCAGTAAAACTCAAAAAGGTTTGGAAAATGAGTAAACGTATTGCTGACCATGTCAAGATTGGCTTTTTCATGAGAATTTTCTTCTTCTTTTCTTCTGTGAGTGTGTCAAATTCTCTTCGAAGCTCTCTCCTGCAATAAGGTAAAAACCTTAATAAACAATAAGCAACAAAACTTAAAAATGTAATTCCAGCTAAAATGATGCAAAATACCCAGAATGGAAATAAAAGAATTTTGTCTGATGGCGTCTGAATGATGGAGATGACAGAAGCAACCAATCCCGTTAACGATTCACCAATCAACAAGGCGCTGGAATGTGCATAGGTGAAATGCAACACAAATGGATAATATAACAAGGTAGACGTACAGTCACACACTCCAACAAAGAACATTAAAATGAGGAAAGGCCATGATCTTCCTGAAACTTGAACATTCCACAAAAATGACATTAAGATTAAGGTGGCAATACCAATGACAAGTAAAGAAATGATGAAAATCGTGTCAATCCATTCAAATTGTTGATGAACAGATGTAGTGGATGTAGATTGTTGTTGTGGTTGAGGTGAATGAGAAGATTCTTTTTTCATTCGAATCAATTTGTAAGCTCTCCTAAAAACCATCAACAAAAAATATAAGAACGGCACAATATTAGCCAATTGTAAACTCAAATTCATATCGACTGCAATGGCATATCCTTCAGGTAAGTTCATTCCAAGAATTGGAATTTCACTGTAAATACCTATGGAAATGTTGAGTACATGTCACTCGTCAATTTGTTTTCTGTTGTAAATTCAAGTACTTACCATTCACTGCAATCCACGAAGACAATCCAAAAACAATAACCAACACATAAACCACAGGATTTGGAAATGAAACACAATACTTTCTTAAAAATTGTTGCATCTTGTATTTTGTCATTTCTTCTTCTTCGAGAGCTTTGACCACTTCCATCGTTTCCGATTTCTTGAGAGTATTCGTAGTAGTATCGATAAATTCTGAATTCAAATTCACAACAGATCCATCATGGTTCTCAACCCCAATGGATGAAGATTGTACCAACAAGTTCGTGCTGCTACTATTACTGTTTTTAGGAATTTGATCCTTGAGTTCAAACAACGAAGAGCCTTGTTGTTCAGTCGTCCTTTCGGAAGATAATGGATTGGAATTTTGAAAGAAATCTCCTCCTCCTTCTGTGGTTGTCTTGTCAATGATTGCTGTTGTTGCAATGGTATATTTGGATTCCATGGTTGGGTCCAAACCACTTTCCGACATTTTTTAATGTTTGATTGTAAACACAAAATTCAAATACAAATTATTGAAGAGAAAAATTTCCGAAGATTGTCCATACCGTTCGGACGCTAATTTCGTCGGTGAGACAATAACGAGAGATAACGCTCTGAGAATGAGACATTTTCGAGAAGGGTTGGTACTGTTAAAAAGATTAAATTGATTGAATTCACAGTTTCAAATCATTCTCGGTTACCGAAGGCAAAACAACTCCGTGTCTTGAATCCTTCACCAAGATATTTATTGAGGTCGTCCATATTGATGAATATTGAGCGAATGGTCACAGTTGGAACAAAAGTGATTTTCATTGAATTCATTGATCAAAAGATGAGATTTAGAAATTCTGTTGCACTATCTCAGTAAATGGAATTCCAATGCAATCATTTAAAAGCAATACCTAGAGCAAATATTATCTGCTTTAAATTTACACCACCTTAGTGTCATCTTTCACGAGATATTTCGTCACAATTTTAACAATGACAAAAGCAAGAAGAATAGCAACCAATCCATCAATCATGTAATGATGTGCCGAATAAATCGAAGCAATAAAAATCCATAATAAATATTCCAACATGAAGATTTGAATAAAACTCCACGTATTCTTTTTAGAATTGCGAGAAGATTGACAACACCAAACACTTCTAGCAAATGACAAACATCCTTCTTGTGATTCATTCAAATGATTTTCATCGAATAATTCATCATTTTCTAAAGTGTTATGATTTTCACAGAATACCACATAGAGCTCAATAAATGCAATAATTGCAGTCCATCCAACATGCAAACTGTAAAATGCTCCAAATTTGATCGTTCCTTTTCCATAAATTTCGCCAAAGAGTTCAACACCTAGAATTTTGTCAATCATTTCAAATCGAGCTTCAGGAGCATAGACGGACAATACTGGAGGTGAACTTTTTGTTAATTCACTTCCAAACTGATTGTAATATTCTTCATACAGCAAACTATTACTTCGAAACCAAGGAGGAGCTGTTGGAAAGAAGAAACAAAATGCAATTTGAATGAGAGAAATAATTCCCAATGAGAGAATGAAACATTTGAGTTTGTAATTGGAAATTTTAGGATTCGATTTGGATGAATTTTCTTGTCGTTGTTGTTGAGCAACTTCTTGATAGGAGCGTTCAGTAGGTTCATTGACGAATTGTTCTCGATCGGTGAGTTCGTCTGATAGTTCTATAATGCAATCCAGTTGTAAATATTATTTCAGAGATTATCATTAGAGAGACACTTACGATTTTTTTGAAATAGTTCCTTAATCATTTTCACAACTGGAATTCCAATTTTAAATTTTAAATATTCTCGATTTGGTTTCCATAACAAGACACAAAAAATTAATGGATAAAACGCCAATGGAAAAACAAAATGATTCAAATATGGAATGGCAAAAAAGAAATCCAGAACAGGATGATAAATATTCGCGAGAATGGAATGAGGCATTCCCAGACCGAACATTAACGTCTTGTCAATTTTTGGAATAATGTCAAAATCAACCTGATTGAAAAATTCACCTTCTGAGCTGTACATGTACTTGAAAGCAATCGTTTGGAAATTGGCCATTAATAGAAAATAAAGGGCGATTGGTATAGTCGTCCAAGATATCAATGGGAAAAATAAGCTTTTGATTATCCAAATACTGAAACTTTCCAAAATTAGAAAAAATTGCTTTGCCAAGTGTCGTGTGAAGGATGGTGATGAGTGGTTGTTGAATGCATAATACTTGCCAAGATGCACATCAGTCGTATGCAACGGCAGTGGGTTGAGTTGTTGGTCGTTGGCTGCGTCCTGAGAATCATGATTCATCGCTTGACTCTCCAAATCATCTTTGATTTTAAAATTATGAATCGTGAACATGTCCATCGACAATGTACATTCAGAAGCATTAGAAAATGAAGTTGAACAAGACGAAGAAGATGTCATGGAATGCGAATCCTGGCTGGACGATGCATGTAAGAAAGCTATTGAAGAGTTTTCTTCATCAGCAGCAGAATGTGAAAATGAAGAACCATACAATTGTTCTTTGTGTGGTGTCGATGCGTTGGTCGTAGTCGTCGTCGTCATAATGAAGTTCTTCTTCGTGTTCTCGTGATTGAGGTTGTTGTATGAATCATCAAAACACACAAGAAGTGGTGTTCTTGTTTTTTTACAAAGTTGTTGAGGTGCTTCAAGAGAAAATTGTACGCTGCTGTCGAGTCGCAGTAATCGAATCGAAAGTTTCTTGTGCGCTAGTACCGGCGGATTAAATATTGGACGCAATCACGTTTTTCGTCTTGCAAACCACCAATGGACACGAGCGAGTGGAGGTGTGATGTAGAGAGGAGGATGACAACTCGAGTTGTTCTAGAAAAGGAGACAATGGAGGGTTGTAATTATATGCTAAGAGAGGAACGCACTGTTGCAATCTGTGGTTGTGTTTTTTTGTCAATTCATGAAAATAGGTTTTGAAAGGTTGGTCAATGGAAATCGACAGAATGCTTGTTCCATTACAGAACTCGAAAAAAGTAGTTAAGAGCTTCTAAGGAGTTTGGGTTCAGCAATAGAAATGATGACGCACAGTTTCACACCTTCTAATAGGGTTCCTTTTGGTTCCAATACAAACCACAGCACGACTTTGGAGAGAACCATTCCTAAACAAGAGATACCGTTCTTCTAAGAGCATGTAATCATTAAGAAATTCATTCGAATAACGCTCCATTGTTCATTCAGGTGGATTGAAAAAACTTCTGCATTTAATAATCAGATCCTCGACTAAGAACCTCTTTGCATGTTGGTCTTAACAAGAATGTGTGCTCAAATTGTGCAGTATAACAGCCTCTCACGTCCACTAAAGGTGGATACTCGGTCACTATTCCATTATTGACCAAATCACGAAGAGCAGTGAGATATTTCCTCTGACCTATCCGGTCCAAATATCTTCGACAGAATGGAAGAGTTCCAAAATTTTCATTGATCACTTTCAGTAATTCTCTCGAGTCCTTATTTCTAAGCTCTGAGCCATCTCCTTTGTAATCAAAATTTTTGCCATAGTGAGACGTGACACCTTCTTCTTCGATATAGCCTCTACCTGTGGAGCCGAAAGTCTCAATTGCAAAGAATTCGTTTTCCTCCATTTTTTCATTTTCCTTACATGCCACAGTTGGAACTGATTTACCTGCATGCACACGATATTTCTCAATAGAGTGTCCACACAAATTTTCAATACTTCTTACTTGATAAGTCTTTCCATCAATGGTCTTGTCACATTTGTTAAAACAAGTGCATTGAGTGTGTCAATAAAACACAAAAATAATTTCACAAATGTTGAATCAATAGGTAAATGAATCATGTGAACATCAAAACCATCTCAACTACCTACCACTTCATAACTTTCCATAACTTCCTGAATGGCTGCTCCAACATCACCCAATCTCACATCAATACCAGCAACCTTTACACCTGTATTAGTGGCATCTTTCACAGCATCTAAGAGTGGTTTATATTGATCGTTCCAGCACATGGTAAAGGCCGAATCAACAATGGTACCATTCACATGAGTTCCCAAGTCAAACTTGATCACATCATCCTTTCCAATCACAGTTTCATCTCCAGTATTGGGTGTATAATGCGCAGCAACATAATTCAATGAGCAACCCAAAGGAAAAGCTAATCCTCCCTTTCTATTATTCTTGTCGGCTTCGATCAGTTCTCTCACCTTATTTTCGTAAGCTTCAGCTGCGTCAATGACACGCATTCCTGGTCGTACTACATGCTCTTTAAACCATTTTCTTGCCGTTCGATGAACCTCCGCAGCTTGTCTTGCATCCCTAATTCGTTCTTGCAATTTTTCATCACGAGCTTCTGCATCGGAATCAAGTTCTCTTGCAGTAAACCGTTTGGTACTGTGCTCATAAAACTGCAGTGGTTGAATTTCACCTTGTGGGAAATTATTGTCCTTATACAAGTATTTAATTGGAACGGTAGGTTCGGGTTGAGTTTGTTCCGATGGATAGTCTTTTGGAGCCTTTTTCTTCTTTTCACCCGATGAAGAAGATCCTTGAGATTTATTTTGTTCAGCAATTTCCTTCTCATTCTTCTTTTGCATTTCTAATAAAAACTTTAAATCATCATCCTTTTTGGAGGCTGCTTGCTTGGAGGTTTTTGATTTGTTTCCTCCTGATGAGGCTGCTGCGGAGGTGTTGGTTGTGGACTTTTTAGACATTTTTTTTTTGAACTTCAAAAATCACAAATTTGGAGTTAGTAAGATTCTTTTAATTTGAACAAAATCTTTGATTTTACACTTCACAATTTGATAGGATTATTAACGATGGTGAAATGATGTTCCTTCCATTCCACTTCGAATGCCCAAGCTCTTTCAACAACCCAATCAAAAAAAATGTCTTCGAATTCATCTCCTCAACAAGAAACAACTTCTTCCCTTCATCAACAACAACAACCACATGATTCTTCCAAATCATCCAAAGTAGAAAAAGTAGAAGCTGTTGAACATGTTGTTGAGGAATCTCCCATGCGTTATCTTGCCTATGGTGCTCGACTCCGAACATTGATTACGGCCGGAGCTCGTTATTTGGCCTATACTTCTGATGTGGGTAAGTCTTGTTGATGATGAATTTTAATAGGTTCATGATGGATTGGTTGATGATAATTATTGTTTTGTAATGATTTAATACGAATTTTGTGGCTCGGATGATGACACGTGTATTTCTATAATTTAATTTTGATTGAACTAATTTCTAAATTAATATATTATTTGACATGATCAATCAATTACTCAAATACCCAATTCATAATATTCATGTAATAATAATTATATAATCATAATATTGCTTTTAAAAATAATAAGGTGAGGCTTTCAGGCCCATTGTTCATCCTCTCATTGTCAAGGGAGCCTATGCCATTTCTTGGGCCTATGTGTTAGGAGATGTCGGACTTCAAACTTACAATGAAAAACAAAAAAACTCTCCAACGAGTATTATTCTGAGAACTTGCACAAAGACAGCCCTTTTCCAATCGACTGCCTCCATGTTGTTGCCAGCTGTCACTATTCATCAAACAGTTCATTGGACTGCTAAACTCATGTTAAAATTTGGTGCTAAGAGTCGTGTCATTCCAACGGCTGCTGGTTTGGCAATGCTTCCTTTATTGCCATTTATGTTCGATCATCCTGTGGAATATGTAGTTGACAAGTTATATGACAAGTTTTGGCCAGTGGATCATCACTCATATGACTCGATTCACAACAAGGAGAAACAACATTGAGAAAATTTTTGCTTAACAAGATGCCAAACATCATTATGGCATTGACAACTATTTATTAACTCCGTAGTAGAATTAATTTGTTTGAATTTATTTTTGAAAACAGTGACAATATTTATTGTTGTCGATTCAATAAAAATACATTAATTTTCATGCGTGAAGTAATGATATCTCATTGCCACATAGATCAACATGGCATTCACATTATAAAACAATGGAGAACACACTTCCACAAAGGGTGCCTTAAACTTTTTTGAATATTCTTCAATCTACTTGACATAGATTTTTTGTTTCTGAGGAAGAGTTGTTGTTGTTGAGTTCTTAAATCCAACCAGTAACAACAAGGGGCTCGATTGGATCCACCTGCACGCCTCGCTTCTTGATGATTTTTCATCATCGCTTCGTACTCCACATTAAGGCGATGCAATGTTTTGGAATCATGAATATCAAAACACATATTAATTAAAAACATGCGTCGAAAATACATCAATGGAAGATGTTTTTTCCTGCATCGTTTTTCTCCAAACGTATCCCACAACCGGAAGGAAAGTTTTTGTTCGTGTTGCTGTTGATTGTTTCTGCACAGTTGAGGTTTAAACTTGAGAGAAAGAAATTGACAGGTCATGGCAAGGGACATCACTCCAGTCTTGGAAGAAAATCCTGAAGTTTGTTCAAGCATTCGGGTGACCTAGTTGCTTTTTCCAATCCCGAAAGAGCCAACGAATGAAATCTGACCTTCATTGGGAGTATCTTGAGAGGATAGCGAACTTGTAATCGTTGTTGGAAAACAATGAATTCAGAATACCAGTACTCTTTTGAAAGGATTTTTGACGTTCCTTTTCAATATTCCATTGACACAGAGAGTATTGCCGTTGAACAATTAATGTCATGCATTGGCTTAATTCCGTTTTCGATGTTAATTCATCGTCATCAAATTCTAATTCAATATTTTAAAAACTTTTTTGACCCTTCATAGTCCAATGAGCAAGGTGCTGAACCATGGGTTCGAGTTTTTGCAATGTCCACCCATAATTGATCTAAAAAGAGACTTAATTTTTCAAAATTCAAAAATCCAGTCAATGTCAATAAATCTTCAAATTTGTGAATTGGAGGAGGATTATAAGAATTTTTCAAATCATTTGGATCATATAATTGGTGACGTAACTGGATCAATCTCAAACGCTGTCGCGTGATCACAGGAATGCGTATGAGTTGATTCCATTTCTTTGTAAATGTCGATACTTGAATTTCACTTTTAATATTTTCACCCGAAGAAATCAAGCATATCATGTGAAATGAATAATCTTGATCAATATAGAGCAGCGCATGAATTGTTCATATTCTTGTTGGCATGTGACAGTTGTTTCTTTATGACAAATGGATCTCATGTTTTCTTTCTGACAGCTATTGTCAAGAATACTAGACTTCATTCTTTAACTGTTGACAAGATGCGTTATTGTTACTTCCTATGAGGATTCATTGAATTCTTTGCCTCATCATCTATTTCGAAGAGTTGAGCAACATGCAGTGAGTAACTAACTATTCTTATATTCCATAATGATACTTTCTTTGCCTTCCTTTCATCTCAAATTCGTTGTAATTATTAATAAATTTTCACAACGTTTTGGGATTGGCGCCAAAAAAATGTCGAAACGAACGTTGGACGAAATGTCATCAACGCCAGCACCCTCATCAGGGTCGATTCAAAAATCCAGCACACAAATCCAACAGGATGAATTTGAAGAATCAAGCACCATTCCAACAAAATCAAGAAGAATGGTCCGAAGAAAGAAAGAAGCAACTCCTTCTGTGGAGTTTCCGAACGATGGACCTCTAGCCAGTGGATCATCAATTCCGATGTCATCTTTATCATCAACAACAATTTCCACGAGTTCGAATACGAACGAAAAAGATTCATTTCTCAATATTCAAAATAATTCTTCTTCAAATATTTCTTCCCCAATTCCTTCACAAAACAAAATTAATGGTTTGATGTTTTCTGAAAAAGAGATATCGGGATTGGATCAAAATTTTGGACGCCTTTTTTATGCATTGAATTTACTTTATCGAAGAGGTTTTAGTGATTTTTCAGTGGCGGCTCTCAATGAAAAGTGTGGAGAAACTGGTGAACGTTTCACACTAGAATTACTTCAAACCATTCAATGTATCGTTCCAGAGCTATTTACATTGTATTATAATTATCATCAACAATTGTGTTTGGAATTGAAAGAAGATTTCGAGAAGAAAAAATCTGTCATTATTGGACTGTGGAAAAAAAGACTTTCCAATCCTGGTCTCATTGAATGTAAAACGACACCAACCATTGAAAAACGAACACTAGGTCTCGAAAATGAAAGTATGACTATCAGTAAGCAAACGGTGTCACAGCGAGAAAATAATGAACAGAACAGTAACATGTTGCCTCCACCTCCTCGACCACAACAAGAAACGAAAAAACAATCGCTTCAGGAAATGCTTCAAGAAAATGATAGACGTGAAATTGAGGAATTAGCGCGACAACATTGGCTTACGAAAAAGTTTGAGTGTGATAGAGCTTGTGAAACGTTACTGTTATTATTTACGTACGTAGAGGAGTATTTTAACACATTTCGAAATTTATTCATGACCATTTTATTGAAAATTAATAATTTATTGATTTATTTACACACGTGTCCAAATGTTACATCTTCAGAATAATGAAAATGAGTAAGAAAACCAAAATGGAAATTAACACACTGGTAGAAACTCTCAAATCTAGGTATCCTCGTGCTATCACGAACCCAGAAATCATGTCACATCTTCATTTATTTTGCAAACACGCTCCATCATGCTTTTCACTAAACACCTTTGGTACTCTCAAAGTATTTGAAATGAATAAGAATGCTAAATTTGAAATGGCTAAACAAAGTTTGGAGAGCGGAGTGCAATAAGAACACTAGTCTTTAACTCTAACATCTTGGAATTTCCTAGCTTGGAACGAATTAATTTTTCCAAATTAGTGTCACAATTCCAAAACAGTTATTCAATAAATATTCAACTTATTAAAAATTTAAATATTATTTATTGGCCCTTCGGTGCCTCAGTACGTTACATTAGACGTTCGTTTAGTAAGGATACAACTTCAGAATGTCAAATGTTTTTGTAAGGATATTTCAAATATTAACAGGTTTCTTGCTTTTTTTGAGCAACTGCTATAAATGGAGCGGGTTAAGTCCATCGATGAACAGATGGCGAAAATAATGCAAGGATTGTTCTATTAATGTTTTTTGAAATATCAATGGTTAGTAATATTGGGTTATCAATAATCATATTAATAGGTCACGAATTAGTAAATAGTGCTGATTAGTCAATAAACAAATATATAAGATTACCAGTTTGTTCTTCATAGGATTCATGTTATAATAGTCGTGGTACAGCAGGGTGGAGAGCAATCCTGGATCCAATAAAGGGTGAGATGTTTTTTTCTTAATCCTCTAACCACTACATGTTTCTTGTCGAGTTGATGTTTGGTCAAGTGGATCGTAAGTGCTTGTCCAATTTCATCGTCGTCATGAACAACGTGGTTGTGAACTTTGTTCATCTTTTGGTTAGTTTTTCTTCTTGGCTTGGCTTTGACGGTTGTACGTGGTTTCTTGGGTTGTATTCTCATGCTTGTTTTCTCAGGTGTTAGTGGCGTTGGTCGTTCGGTATTAATTTCTGGTGGTTTTTTCTCTGGTTTTTCAACGTTTGAATTATTGACGGTTTCAATTGGTGGATGGTGTGTGTTTAAAGTAATGTGATGAGGGTGCTGTGTACTTTCCTCGTGGTTTTGTATGTATTCATCGAGTATGTTATTTAATTGTTGGAGGGTAAAGATAATGTAATGCGTTTGTTGTTCAATCTTTGCTAACCGTTTTTCCAAGCTGTGGAGCATGTCAGAGTCTTTTCTGTTGATCATCTTGCGGTATTTTTTAAGGGCTCGAACTTATTAAAAATGCCTTTCGCTCTACATCACCATTTTTCGCACACCACTCCCAAGAGACCCACAAAATCTCGGA